CCGTCGTCGTCAAGCAGGCCGTTCGGCGTCGCCGCCGCCCTGGTCCCCTGGAACTTTCCCGTCGCCCTCGCCCTGCGCAAGGGCCGCCGCCGCCCTCGCGCCGGCTGCACCATGGTCGTCAAGACGTCGCCCGAGACGCCCCTGTCGGCCGTCAGCCTAGCTCGCCTCGCCACGAGGGCCGGCTTCCCGCCGGGCGCCCTCAACGTGCTGACGACGAGCCTGGGCAACACGCCGGCCGTGGCCGAGGCGCTGTGCCTGCACCCGCGCGTCAAAAAGGTCAGCTTCACGGGGAGCACCCACGTCGGCAAGCTGATTGCGGGGCTGTGCGCGCGGAACCTGAAGAAGACGACGCTGGAGCTCGGCGGGAACTGCCCCTTTGTCGTCTTTGACGATGCCGATGTCGAGCAGGCGCTGGGCCAGCTGATGGCGCTGAAGTGGCGCCACGCGGGCCAGGCGTGCGTGACGTCTAACCGCGTCTACGTGCAGAGCGGCATCTACGACGTCTTTGTGGCCAAGCTCGTCGAGCAGACCAGAGCTCTCAAGGTCGGCCACGGCATGGACGAGGGTGTCACGATGGGCGCGCTCACGACACCCCGCGGTCTCGACAAGGCCGAGGAGCTGTATCGGGACGCCGTTGCCAAGGGAGCCAAGACTGTCTTGGGGACGGGGCAGCGGATGGGCGGCAGCGGCTACTTCATGGCACCGACAGTCCTGACCGACATGACTGACGACATGGCCATGAGCCATGAGGAAATTTTCGCGCCAATCTTGGGCGTGTATCGGTTCGAGAGCGAGGAAGAGGTGACGCAGAGGGCCAATAACACACCCCTCGGTCTGGCCAGCTATGTCTTCTCGAAGAATATTGACAGGCTATGGAGGATGTTTGAAAACCTGGAGGCGGGCATGATCGGAATGGTGAGTCCCTTATACTATGAGTGAGCACTAGACTGTGCCCGCGGACCAACTGACGCCATTTCATCTTCACAGAACACAGGCAACAGCTCGGCTGCCGAGGCACCGTTCGGAGGCATCAAGGATAGCGGCTACGGGAAGGAGAGTGGCAAGGATGTGGCTATTAACGAATTCCTCATCATAAAAACAGGAACGATGGCTATTGATGGACACTATTAGGAAGGATAAAAGACTTGAATTTTTACTGTACGAGCGGTTTCGAACCAAAGCCTCGTTGCGTTTCGGATTGTATCATTCCGCGAGGAATTTCACCACTGCGGCGTGCAAGTCTTCCTGGGTCTCCAGTAACTGGATCTGGAACCGGGCACAGACGGCCTGGACGTTGCCCTTGTTCTCATACCTCTTGCTGTCGCTCTCGAGACAAGCAGCAATGACCTTGCCTGAGCGAGCCGCCAGCCCAAACTCTAGAAGGCTGATCGGCGCGGCGGTGCTGTGGTGGAAAAGCACGACCACCAGATCAGCTGCCTCCTGCATGTCCAACTCCCAATTGACTTGTTCGCTGAAGCGGCTGTCGGACATGTCGTTGCTCCAGTTCCAGTCCAATCGGAGGGGATTGAATATGGTAACGGGATGGTGCTGGAGGGCTTTGCACAAGGTGGCGCGCCAATCACCCGCGTCCTTGTGGGTTGTGCCGGCGAGGAAGATTGATTTGTTGGTACCCGGCAATGCCGGACGATCGGGCGCCTGGACAATGGTAGCTTTGGTCAGAGTGGTAGCCATTGCGTTGCACTGGTTTGTGTTCGGACTCGACGTCCGATTAGCTTTCGGGTATGTGTTTCTAACGCGGCTATAAAGACATGGCGCGCGCAGCCTCACACAGAAATCATTTGACGGCCTCACGCAGCCGTGTGCAAGCTTATGGGCGGATAGTGCCGCCTTGGACACGTCGCCGCAGCCTGATGCATTAATTGTCACGTGCGTGATAATGCAGCCTCGGAGGCATGGTGCATGGCTGGCAATCGGTGAGCGTTTGATCGTTTCTCAAGGTTGATGCCCGTCAAGTCCTGACAGGCAAACTTCAGGACATGTACGTGTTTCGATATCGCTGAGGATGTGGAGCTGCTCCCACCGCTCGGTCAAAGGAGGATTTTGTCTGACCGGCTCATATCAAAACACGAAACGCATCAACATAACTTTGGACGTTGCATTGATAGCAAACCAGTCAGCTCCAATAAAGCTTATGGAAGACGCGGATCTGCGCAACGCGTACTCGGGCCTCTTGAAGCTATGCTCCGATGATTTCTCCGTGTCCCATCATTATTCATGGCAGCGAGACCGGTTTCTCCCTCACTCACGTAGGTGGATGCAGTTGACTTAGACAGGGGCCGCGGATGCGATACGGCAGACACATATGAACAACCATGAGACATGCAGCCCGACGGAGTGTCACCGCCCATGTTGCTGTGAGTCAACGCGGTTGGACATGGTGAAAGCCAGCCGCAGCCACCATAGATGCAGGTAGCCAGGTCAGGAGAGCGCAGGACGGGCGGCAGCACCACCCACGGCTGTAGGTCGCAAGCGAGCTGCCACATTGGCCTCTTCAGTGGACAGATAGGAGACATCTGCTGCATTGACCGACTCGCCCCCCCTCCCCCCCCCCCTAGTGGCTGTCATTCGGGAGCTGGCTAGGGGCTGGGATGTGGTGTAAGTGGATTAGGGGAGTGAAAAGGGGGCTCAGCGAGGAGCATGTTGCGGTGTGAAGTCACGCAACGGAACGTCGTTGGACGAAGTGCAGCTCGCCAGCATGCTCCGCCTGTCGACACTTGTCTCATGGGGATGGTCCGGAAGAGCGGGTGGCCAGCCAAACAGCCAGAAGTGCCAGGGGGACACGGGTGCGAAGACGCAATGGCGAGGGCGCAGATTGGCTGTCGATAGTTGCCCAGGTCGATAAAGTGTGGATAGGAGAAGCAAGGTCGGAAGACGTGGAGCGTGACCCGGTTCGGCAGCGGTCAAACAAAAAGGAGGTATGCCTGTCGCCAGACCGAGAAGCCTGCTGCTGGTGCTCGCTGGCTGCTGTCTGTTATTATTATTGCTGTCGCTGTCGCCATTGCCAGACCCCAGGGCTGCTTGCTCATATTTGGCCCCTTTTTGAGACTGATCGAACCGTGATCCGTGCCATCCCTTATCTCAGCTGATGCCATTGCGTGGAATGTCGCGTCATGGGCAGGCCAGATATAAAGATGGTTGAGGTAGGCTGCCTCCATTTTCCCCCCTACTGGGAGCGAAGAAAGACGCCATAGCTGGTAGCGGGCAAAGCGACCGACGAGAAGAAGGGCCGGACCGCCGACAGAGCAAATTGACTGACGAGGACAGGGCACCGAGTTGGGCATGTCGACCGTCGATATCGCGAAGACCAAACCGGCGGACTCGGTTATCGACCCTCACCCTCTGGTCGGATCGAGGGCTAGCATTGGCGGCAGCAGCATTGTCAGCAGTATTGTCAGCAGCAGCGGCGGCGGTAGCAACAACGACAGCAGTTACGAGAATTGTCAGGGTTGCAGGAAGATTGAAATGGAGGAGAAGCAAAAAGAACAGGCGAGACGACTATCGGAGGATGAAGGTGTCGGGCTGGACCTCGACGACGCCAGTTTAAAGTCCGGTAAGATGGTTTGTCTCCTCATCATGTCCTTCCCTCCCTTCCTTCCTACCTACTCAACCTCGATTTCGGTGGGTGGGGGGACCAAGTGGTAGCCGCCATGGGAACAGCCCTGGGAAACAGCCTTGAAAGGTGGTCCTTCCAGCGCGTTGGCGCGCTGCTGCAGGGCTGCCGTCGCCGAAACCTGGGGCACAGCAGGCGCGATCCACTTCCCCAGGAAGCCGCTACCAACCTTACGTGCCCGACCTCGCCTGCCCTCTGGTAGTAGCCTCCCGTCTCGGGTTGGTAGGTGGTGGTGACCTGCGATTTCGGGCTGGGCAAGTGCTGCGCAAGTGCAAGTGCCCCGGAAGAGAAGCTGCCCACGCGATACGCTCAATTTCGTTGTACCGTACCCTGCCTTAGCATAACCACCTACACAACGAGCGCTGCCGTTGCACGAAAGTTCTTCTCTTGCTTTACTCCTTCAATTCCTCCAACGGCCATTCTGTCTAACCATTTCCCCCTCTCCCGTCCCCTGTCTTCCCAAGGAGTCATACCACCACCACCTGTGCCCCTCAAGTGGATCCAGGACCCCCATTCCGTCATTCCAGCTCCGACTCTATCAATACCCACATCGCGTCCCTCGCCATCGGCCAGCCGTCTCCTGCACCATTCGAGTCACAGTCCTAGATTCAGATCGCCTCCTCAGATAGACAGCACTCGAGAAGTCGCAAATTTGTTGTGCTGACCAGAGACCGCTCTCCTTCGCCGCAGCGCCCGACATGCCGTCTGCACTTGCTGCTTCCGATCTGTCTACCAGCTTCGGCACCGACCCAGACGACTGCCCTCAGCTGGCGCCCGATCTCCTCCACAACCTGCGACACGATAGCTCCGTGCTCTGCCTCGCCGTCTGCGAACGAACCGAGTCTATATACGCCGGCACTCAGGATGGCGAGATTGTCGTCTGGTCGCTTGCCACCTTTCAGCAGGTCCACAAGATTCAAGCACACAAGCGCAGCGTCCTTTCCCTCTTCCTCTCCGACGATGGCTCCATGCTCTTCTCCAGCGCCGGCGACCCCATCATCAACGCCTGGTGCCCCGCCTCCCTGAAGCGCCTGTATGAGATCTACAGCACCTACGACGTTGGCGACATCTTCTCCGTCGCCTACAGCACACAGAATGAGACCCTCTACATCGGCGCGCAGAATACATCCATTCAGTGGGTCAACCTCAAGGACCCCAGGAATCGCGCCATGCATGAGTCTGCCACCCACCCGGACCGCAGGAATCACCGCTTCTTCGACTCGCGAGCAGTCGGTGGCACCTCGACACCCCGCCGCAACGATGACCGCTGGACGCTGATACCCAAATCGGAAAAGGTCGTCGAGGTTCCCTCCGGTGCGGTTCACATGTTCGCCCACTACGGCTACGTATACTGCATGCTCCTTGTCAAAGGACCTACCATGTTGGTGGATGCCGACGAGGAGGTCCTCATATCAGGCGGAGGCGATGGCACAATCAAGGTGTGGAAGATTGGTACCGGAGACGGCAGCGACACGGAAGACCCCGACGACGGCGAGGCTGGTCTCGAGGAGATTATGGTCCTCGGCACAGACGAGGGCGAGTCTGTCATGTCCCTTGCCATTGACGGCTCCTTCCTGTACGCCGGCAAGCTGCAAGGCATCATTGAGCTGTGGGATCTCGACACCAAGTCCAAGCTGCGGGTCATCAAGAGTCACAGAGGCGACGTCATGTCCCTCCACATGAACTGGGGGTACCTGTGGAGCGCCTCTGTGACGGGCACCGCCAGTGTAAGTGCTTTCGCATGATCCTTCGCAATTCTCATTCCCCAGCAGCTGACAACCCTGCAGAAACACAGTACCGTTCACTATGGCGAGTTTCAGGAGTCGCAGGTTGAGAACGTCAGCCAAAAGTACCAGTGCCTCGCACGCTGGAAAGCGCACGAGGGCAAGATTCTCGCCTCGGCCGCCACTACCTACAACGGCAAGCAGTACTACATCACGGGTGCCAACGATAATGATGTCGCTATTTGGAGGATCGATAAGAAGTGCGCCACCGATATTCCGTCGGCGGAAGAGTCAGAGGATGTCATGCTGTCAGCGTTGCAAGAGTTTGTCTCGTACAAGACCATTTCCTCGCGTCCCGAATTTGCCGAGGACTGCCACCGCGGCGCCACATTTCTTGGCTCGCTGTTCAAGCGCCTTGGTGGTCAGGTCGACATGCTGAGCTGCGACAGCAACCCCCATAACCCCGTCGTGCTCGCACAGTTCAACGGCACACAAGGACCGTCCAAGAAGAAGCGCATCTTGTTCTACGGACACTACGATGTCGTCACTGCTGACGCGAAGAAGAGCAAGTGGAACACCGATCCCTTCCAGATGAAGGGCATCAATGGGTACCTCTACGGCCGAGGTGTCAGCGATAACAAGGGCCCCATCATTGCGGCGCTGTACGCTGTGACAGACCTCCTACAAGCAAAGAAACTGGAGAACGATGTCGTGTTTCTCATCGAAGGCGAGGAGGAGTCCGCATCCAGAGGGTTCAAGGAGACGGTCCGCGAATACAAGGAGCTCATTGGCAAGGTTGACTACATCCTCCTTGCCAACAGCTACTGGCTCGATGACGAGGTTCCATGCCTGACGTACGGTCTGCGTGGTGTGCTCCACGCAACAGTCTGCGTCGAATCCCCGTTGCCTGATCTGCACTCTGGCGTAGACGGTTCATACATGAATGACGAGCCCTTGTCAGACCTGACCTCAACGTTGTCTAAGCTCAAGGGAGCTGGCAACCGCGTCATGGTCCCCGGATTCTACGACAATATTCTTCCAGTCACGCCAGTGGAGGAGACGCGATACGACGAGATCGCATCGTTACTTATGAAGCGTAAACCTGAGCGCGGGCCTGAAGCGAAGCTCAAACAAGCGCTCATGGCAAGGTGGCGAGAGCCCAACCTCACCATCCATCGCTACAAGGTGTCTGGACCCGACGGCAGTCTCGTCAGTAGCCACGCCAGTGCGAATATCAGCTTACGTCTCGTACCGGGACAAGAGGTGGACGATGTCATTACATCGTTGACTGCGTATCTGGAGGCAGAGTTTGCGACGCTCAACTCGGAAAACAAAATGACCGTCAAGGTTGACAACAAGGCAGAGCCCTGGCTTGGTAACCCGAACAACGTCATCTTCCGCACGCTCGAGGAGGCCGTAATGAAGGCCTGGGCTCCAGCGTTTGCGCCACAAGACGGTGCCGACGACTCGAGTGAGGACGAGTCTTCCGAAGAGGGTGATGACGTCGAGGAAGCTACACCTGGTGGTGCCAAGGAGGTCCGCGTGTCGAGGCCGAAGAAGCCGCTGTATATTCGCGAGGGCGGCTCCATTCCTGCCATCCGATTCCTGGAGAAGGAATTCGGAGCACCAGCAGCACATTTGCCATGCGGACAGGCGACCGACTCGGCGCATCTTGACAATGAGCGGCTGCGGGTATTGAATTTACTGAAAAGCCGGGAGATTTTCGGAATGGTATTTGCCAGGTTATAGCTTGGCAGAAAGAGGGGAAAAGGTCATGATTGTAAAACACGGCGTTAGGGGTAATGAATAGGGCTGGATATTCAACTCAGAATATGATAGATCAATATTTGATACCCGGGTTATCTATCTGATGACTTGCTTCCGAGTGACGGGCTGTCGGGATGGCAAACCGGGAGAGCCGTCGATCTTGACCCCGTCGATCTTGACCATTCTTGGACGTCATATCTTATCTTATCTCAGGCACACCATCAACACTGTCGGACCGGAGGAGGTCTTCAAAGCCTCGTCAAGGAAGACCACGACAAGGGCTTTTCACCATTTCTTCAAACAGAAACTCATCATAGATTAAGACCTGCCGTCATGGAATACAAGTCGCAGCGGTCTGAGACCCTCAAAGTCAAGCCGCGGCTCATTATACACGGTGGCGCGGGGAACATTACACACGCCTATCTCCAACCGAAGGACTGGGAAGCCTACCGGAAATCACTTCTCACCATTGTCAGTTCCCACATGATTCCCTGGGATACACCCCCTATCTGACGAAACCCACAGCTCGCAAAAACCAACACCTACATGACGACCCGGCTCTCCACGGGCCGGCTCCCCAGCGCTCTCGAGACGGCGACCCACGCCGTCAGCCTCCTGGAGAACGACCCGCTCTACAACAGCGGCCACGGCGCCGTCTTCACGCGCGACGGCATCAACGAGCTAGAGGCCTCAGTCATGGTCTCGCGCGGGCACAAGAAGCGCGCCGTCGGCGTGTCGGGCGTGCGCCGCGTGCGCAACCCCATCCTCCTGACGCGCGCCGTCCTCGAGCACGGCGAGGACGACCTCGAGGTCGCCGCCGGGCGCCCCGACGTGCCCTCCGCCCAGGGCCACGGACACCTCCACGGCGACGAGCTGACGGCGGCGCTGGCGGCGCGGTATGGGCTCGAGACGGTGGCGCCGGCCTACTTTTTTACGCAGAGGCGGTGGGACGAGCATGTCGAGGCGCTGCGGCGCGAGGACCGCGAGGGCGCCGTGGCGGCGACGTGGAGCGACAAGGTGTTTCTGCCGCAGGGGACGTGCGGGGCCGTTGCGCTGGATGAAGAGGGCGTTGTTTGCGTGGCGACCAGCACCGGCGGACTCACGAACAAGCTGTCCGGCAGGATCGGGGACACGCCGACCGTGGGGGCTGGTTTCTGGGCTGGCGAGTGGGAAGATGACGAGGATGACCGCCTCGGATCGACCGCGTGGGACTCGGGCGTGCGGGGCGTTCTCGGTCGTCTTGGATCCAGTGTTGGCATCAGTGACGGGCTTCGGCGACTGTTGGCCGACTGCCTCCCCCGACCTTTGATGTACACGCCACTTCCGACTCGAGGGGGCGGCTTGACGACGGTAACTCGATCCTTTGCTGGGTCTGGAACCGGCAATGGGGACTCGTTTCTGCGAGTTGACGCGTTGCACTCCGTGGCGTCTCGTGCACAGTGGAAGCGGGAGCCCAGCGCGAAGGCCTTGTCGGCTGTTGCAGGCCCCAGAGGTGAGCTGCAGAAGAGCGCAGGTGATCGTTGGGGTCGCACAGGCGAGGGGCAGGGCGGCATCATCGGGATCGAGTTGACTGTTGTGCGCGGGCCGCAGGGCGATGTCCTAGAGACGCGATCCGAGGTTCTGCAGGACTACAACTGTGCCGGCATGTTTCGGGCATGGGTTGACGATGATGGAAGGAGCCATGCGGAGGTCTGGCGCGGTGACTCGACTGTGGGGGGTATCTATTGAGATGAGCAACTGTGGCGATTCAGTCAACAGCAAAGGCACCAAGCAAAAGCGTGTGGTAATGGTGGTTCTATTCCCTCCCAAGCCCATCTCGAGAGCTTGAAAGAGTAGTGCCGCACGGCTCGTAGCCAACGGCGCAGCGCAGACGAGGGTCTGACACCACTTCTCTGCCGGCGCCGTCTGCTGGGCCTCCCATATATGGCCCGCAAACCGCTTTCCGCCCCCCTTTGCCCCCGTAGAGGTTTGTCTACATATTGTACATGGAACGCCTCCGCCTGGTATGCAAGTGATGATTATGATTCGTGGTTTGGTGAACAAAAAAGTCGAGCCCCGGTCGGGTGGCAGACTGGAAGAGGAGAGGAGTGGGTTGGTCGATCGGTCGGTCCGTCCGTCGTATCGTAACAGAGCCAGCGGCGTCACGCTGAATCGCTGAAAATCAAGAAATCTTTCGGTTTGGAAAATGTGTTCGAAGAAATTTCAAGCAAGAGACATTTCCTGCTGGGAGGGAGGAGGTTGGGGCATCTGGAAAGAGTCAGCCATGGTCAATCGCGGTTGAAGAGCACGAGAGAATATACCTCGAGCTTGGTGCTTCCGGCCATCAGCTTCTGGAAGCCAATACCGACACCCTCAATGACACCGAGGAGCACAGCGCAGCCAATGGCACCGTTCCTCGCCGACTTGTAGCCACCACGGATGGCGAGCGCACCGCCGGTGAAGAAGCCGGTGATGATAGCGTTCCAGGGATCCTCCTTCTGGCGGATGCCCTTCACGGCGCAATCAAACGTGGAGAAGAGGCCGCCAAAGACGCCAAAGTTACCACCGAGAACGGGAGCGCGCATCTTGATGGCCGTGATGGCACCAACGCGACGCTCACCGTAAGGGGAGTTTCGGAAACCCTTGATGCCGTGCCATATCGTGCCGCCGATCGCCTGGAGGAAAACACGTCAGTCTCAGAGCTTCACGATGGCGATGAACGCAATTCTTTGAATGCCGCATCAACCCTCCGCCAGAGCGTCGCAGGTAGAGATGCGCTTGTTGAGAAAGGGGGACATACTCCCATGCAGAAGGCGCCGCCGAAGTCGTTGAGGATGACCCAGGGGCAGGGGTCGCGTGTGTGATCCATGGCTGTGATGTGCGAAGGGGGTGTTTTCCTTGAGAGATGGGTCGAGCAACGACGGGCGATGAGAAGCCGTCAGGAGGGTGATGCGATGGTGAAGCCGTGGGTGGTGTCGGTTGCGGAGCGCGTTGGCAGTGACGGAGTATCTTCGCCTGGTGATGATTGCGATTATGGGGCAGCTCAGCCAGGCGAGGATTTTTTTCGGCTGTCCGGTTCTTCGGATCTTCCGTGATCTTATCGCATGCTGAGTCATCACATCTAGTTCAAAAGCACCCACCCATCTCAGTTCACCAGCGGCGGCATCATTTGACAAGCGTCACTATTACTACTGTTACAATTTGCGTTTGCCATGTACAAATGATTGCGAGTCCTTCATCTAGCGGCATAGCTACCCTTGGCATACTGACAGCGGACACGCCGATCTCTGCCAGGTCAGACGAGACTCTGGCCCGAGATGTTTGTTTTTTGCGGACATCATTCCTTCACAGCAGTACTGCGCCCATGGCAGCTCCAGCAAGGAGCCCCATGATTCCCTTGCTTCCGGCATTGGCCGCGTTGGGCGTCTCCGTAGCGGACGCCTGACTGCCTGCCTCCGTTCCTTCGCTTTCGCTGGCAGTTTCCGACGCTGAAGTCGGCGTTGCAGTCGTAACAGCGGCTGTAAATGTCTGGGACCCCGAGAGCACCTGAGATGCCTTTGATGACTGGGTCGACGCCAGGGCCTCTTCAGCGATGCGATATCATAAGTGGAAAGGCTATCGGCTTCCGCTGAGCTACTCGGCGTCGGTTCCAGAGAGGGTGCTTTGGTCGTGGGCGCTTCAGAGATGACCTCAGCCGTGCTTGCGGCCGCAACCGATGTCGTACTGGGGGCGAGGAAGCGTGGGCTATAAGTGTCGGTGCCCTCATACGAGCCGCAGCCGGGTACCGTCGTCTTGGGCGGCGCGCGGCCGCCTCCGCAATCCAGGAACTCGCAGATCTCGCCGGTATCCTCGACGAACCAAATCCGTGTAGCGTATGGGAAGCCGCCAGCCGGCGTGACAACCGAGTCGGAATACGTGCAGCCTGCCAGGTCTGTCTTGGCCAGGACTGGTGCAACAAGCAAGATGGCTGAGGTAAAGAGCATGAGAGACATGCTGGCCATGATGTCGAACGACTTGCTTGCCGGGATCAGATGAAAGGCTGGCTTGCGTTGAGTCGTAGGCGAGAAAGATCCGATACAGAAATCTAGTACTCGTAGGTATCTGATCGATGCACATATCCCTGACACACGTTACCTGCCGTCGCCCTTTATTGTCCAGGTCCGACCATATATGTCGCTCCAAGTGCTTACTCCGGCGCCACTTCATCTCGGACCCAGCATAGAAGCCCCATGCAATGCCGATAACCGAGATGGTCTTACATGTTAGGCGGACTTCCGCCCCTGACAAGACCACCAAAAACTCTGGCTTCGACTCGGCGCAAATTTCTCAAGCACGTTGTAGTCTTGATGCTTGCTCAGCGCGGGCGCAGGGAGTGGGCGTCTCGCTTTTTGCTTTTGCATGAAAAGCCACTCAATTACTGCATTGCAAAGAGCTAGCAGCCTTGTGTTCTTGGCCATCTGCAACCAGATGTGATCCTGATTTGCTGCCCCTCGGTGAGAATTGAGAAGTCAGTCAAAAAGGAAGTCTGTGATCAACTCTCGTTTTCAACTTCTAAGCGTTTGCACTGCACTTGATAACCCTTACAACTGAGCACAGAAGCGCACCAATCTTGTGCACATTCTGATGACAATGACAGCACTGGGCAGTAGACAAACTTCAATCTAGTCTAATACCCTCTCCTACGTTTTGAACAAGCTCAAACATCCCGCGATGCCATCGACCAAGGCCTTGGCCTCTTCTATCGTCGTTCTCGCGACAGAGCCGAAGACGCCCATGTCCAATGCATCCCCGTTCACAGCAGCCTCGATATCCATCGCAGCCTGTTGTTGTCAGTTAGTCACTAGACATATTCAGGAGTGGAAGTAGACGTACCGGGAAAGCACCTCGAACCGTGTTTTTGCTCAACCAAGTGGCGTCAAAGTTTGAAGGGTCCGGACTGGCCCGTGAGGTAGGCCTGTTGTCTTCATTGAAGAGACGATCATCTACGACCTCATGAAATACGTCGGGGGGTTCTTGCCTTTTGGGCAGGTTGAGGAAATTCACGAAAACGTCGACTGCAACGCCTGTCCATTCCTTGATCTCCCACAGTCCCACGGTCGAGTTAGCCAAGGACGTGATACGGTGTAGGTCTTGCTGAACGTCCTGCGCCAGCTCCATGAGCCCCGTCTTCTCTTGGACCATGACCTTCAACGGCAGCAGATTCAGCGTTGGGTAAAGCTCCGTTGCCGGATCGTCCTTTTCTGCCCGGTTGCTGTAGTAGATGCCAAATATGACAGGCTCGCTACTCGGAACCCTTCTTGCGTGCAGGCTCTGTGCTACTGCAGCGAACACGAGTGCTGGTAGCCCAACTCCATTGCTGGCGCATGAAGTGTTCATTGTGCCCATGCCCGAGACGGCGGATCGCCGGAGGTAGGCAGTTCTGTCTCCGAAGGAATGATGTGTCTGCTGAGGTGGAGGTGCAGAATCGGCGGCATCTGCTAGATATTGTGTCCAAAACGCCTTGCGTTCATCGATGATGCCCGGAGACTGGTGGTGGGCAATAAATGACCTCCATGGCCGAGACGAAGGATTCTTCTGTTCATCTTTCTTGTTGTTATTGACGACATTCTGTCTCAGCTTGTCCAGAATGCCGGGAAGGGTGATGCCATCGTAGAGCGCATGGTGTATATTGAGAGTCAGCTCCCACACGCCGTCCGCACGCTGTTCCGCGGTCATTCTGACTTGTGGCCAGCACTCGCTAGCGACTTCTTTCTCCGAGCCACTGCCGAGAAGCGAGATCTGCGAATGCGGTCCTGTGACGTTTGGAGCTAGCACGATTTGCAGGAACGGCATGTCCCAATCGCCTGTTGCAACGAGACAAGTACGGAGAAGCGTCTCCGTCGCTGTGAGATCTGCCCAAGCTTTTTGTACCGCATTTAAAGACACCGACTCGTCCAATTGATAGCGGAACGCCGGATAAAAAACACCGCCTTGGGAGTTTTGCCATGCGGTCATCATGTAAACTTGCATTGGCACCGCAGGCATAATGTCTTCGACCTGGGATTCTGCAAAGCCTGCCAGGCTCTGCACTTGCTCAAGTTTGATCCTGTCGGGAATCAAACAGGCCTCCTGTACCTCTGCGGATAGTGGCTTTGGGGCATTCCCTGCTAGCTTTGCCATGTGACTGAGAGACGACGCCGTAAGGAGGGCATGCACGCCGAGCATGATATCCTTCTTCTTTAATATTGAGGATACCTTGATAAGGCTGATAGAGTCGAGGCCAAGGTGGTAAGCGGTGCTGTCCCTTGAAATAGACTCGTATGGTATTCCGGAAACTTCTGATAGAATCTGACGAATGGTCGACTCGACTTGAGATTCGGGTTCCTCGAGAGCCATCGCGTTGCCGTTGTCCTTGCCGCTATCTGGCATTGTGGTTTGCGAATCGGACACGAAAGCTGGAAGGTGGCAAATTGAAGTGCGGTCGCCTTCAAACTGTAAGAGGCTGCTCTCCGGTCTCTGCACAAAGTGATTCATTGCCCTGTCGAGATGCTCCAGAAGTTCCTTAACATCGTGCTCGGATGTGGACGCTTCTTTGCCAGCAACGCGCCAAACGAGGTGGTCCTCTGTTGCTTCCAATTCTATACATACCGCAAAGTCGGTAGTAGCTGAGGCTTGAACCGACTTTGCCAGACCGACGTTTTTCGTGTGATGTTTGGCGATACTCGGTTGCCGCTGGAGGAGAAAGAGCGTATTGAAAAGGCCTCCGGGTGCTTGCTTGCCAGCAAGCTGTGCTCTCCGAAGAGGATACGTTTGGTATTCATAAACGTCCGACATGGTGTCCTGAAGGTATCGCAGGAATGACCTAGCTGAGCCGTGAAGGACGCACCGAAGCGCAACGGTATTCATCGTAGGGAACATGAGACTCTGGGCCTCCTCTGTGTCGCGCCCGGACAGGACAACACCGAATGAAACATCCAGAGCGCCGAGTCGTGTGGCAAGAACAGTTGACCAACAGGCTTGACCAAGGACTTGTAAGGTGACCGAGTTTCTTTTGCAGAATGCCATGACTTCTCCAGAACTCAAGCTTGACATGGTCTCATCATGATGTATAGCGTCGGTGGGGGGTGTGGTACTCTCTGGAAGAAGCGAAGGGGGGGCACCAGCTAGATATTGGGACCAGAATCGTTGGCTTTTGTCAGTCGGTGACTGCAGCAGGCTCTGCAACAAATTTCGTGGAGACGGGCGTTGCTCCAGCATATTGTGGTAAGCCGAATCGACGTCTTGATGAAGGAGAGCCAATGACCATCCATCGTAAAGAGCGTGGGCGATGCTGAAAACGACATAACTCTGATCACCGACGTGCGCGATCGTCAACTGGAGCAATTGGGAAGCACCCCGTGCGTTCCTTGCATTTTGGCGATGCGCTGTGTAGACTCCCTCAATTTCTTGTTCGCCTTGGAGCTGAATGTGTTGGATCGAGGGCAAGTGGTGAGCCAGAGCAATCTGGCAAAATGTTTGTTCGAGCCGTGGATCGTCGACTTGTAAGAAGACCGTTCGCAATATTGGTGACTGTGAGATAACCTCGAGCCAAGCGTCTACTAGTGACTCCACGATAGTATCCTTGGAAATCTCCATCACGTCGTGGTTGAAGTATCGCTCAAAGTTTGAGTCAATCATGTCAGCTACCATGGATTCTTGAAGGGGCGTTGGCGGCAGAACGCTTTCGACTGTTCCCATGTCGTACCCAGCCGCTACGACAGCTTCGTGAAGCTGCAGCAAGAGTGCATCGAATGTTGTGTTTGACTTTTCTCCGCTGTCCCTCGGCACCTCGCGTCCTATGACCTTCTCCATGCTCTCGATGTTTTGGGCTCGTAACAGTTGAGACATGGATATGTCGATGCCTTTTTGCTTGAGCCTGGCTGACAAGCTGACGATATCAATGCTGTCCAAGCCCAACTCAAGCAACGAGTTGCACTCGGAGATGCTTTCGACCGGGATCTGGGCCAATCTCGATATCTCGAACCTAATCGCGAGTGTTGCCTCTGTCCACCCAAAGTTTGATACGGTAAACTCTGGGGCGCTGACGTCTGTTGAATGTCCCGCGGAATCGGTGCTAGCGCTTCGAGTAGTCAATGGTGAAGCGCCCGCTGAGCTTTCTTGAGAGGTCAGTGCAGATGCTTGGTTGCGCAACGTGCCCGCTCTTCCGGTAGCCAAAGCAAACATGCCCTCTTCAAAGTCTTCCAAGATTCGTTGGACGTCAGCCTCAGTTGCCACGTCTTGGCGGACAACAATTTGGACCTGAAGGTCGGCATCTCCCTTGGCAGTTGCCTCAAAGGCAAGCGGGTAGTCGTTGGCCACGAAGCTGTCTTCTACCGTCCAGAATGTCTCGGCGTTGCTGGCCAAAGGCACGTCATTCTGGTAGACGAAGAGATTGTCGAAAATGGGATGACCTCCGCTGCACCATTTCTGGATGTTTCGTAACGCCGTGTGCTGAAAAGGCAGGGTTGACACGTTGAAGTCATGGCACCTCTGCGCCAGCTTCTGTAGCGTGTTGTTCGTGGCGACGTCTGGGTAGAAAGGCAAGGTGTTGAAAAGGGGGCCCATCACATCCTCGACGTCTTCTATGTCGAGAACGCGCCCTGAAACCACAACCCCCATCGCAGCTCTTGGGGAGAAAGATTTGCCAAAGGTGCCAGACCATAAGGACAAGACAGCGGACTGCAAGGTGATGTTCAGTGCTTTGCTTGCCTCCCTGAGTCTCTCAACGTTGTAAAGCCGGCGAACGGAGCGAAGGGATGGTGCTTCATCGGTAATTATCCGTGGCAGAGGCTCAAAGGTGCACGAGCTGAGATGCTCTGACCAGAAGAACCGGCTGTGGTCAAAGTTTTGCAGAGGCCCATGTGACAGGGTATCCAAGAAAGCCGGTCGCTGTGCATGGGGCTTCTGCGATATGTCATCAGCTAGCCACTGCAACATGGACTCGAAACTGATTCCGTCGTAAAGGGCATGGAAAATGTGCACTACCAGCAGTCTATCTCCTTCGGAATTGACTACGAGGCATTCCATCGGCTCCAAGATGCTGTCTTGGTTATTCTTGATCCAGGACGAGCGCGCCTCCTGGAGCAGCAGTTTAACTCCATCTTGGCCGACTGTGTAGCTTTTCCACGGAATCTGTGTCGGGGAAAGAGCCACCTGAGCGAACCCTCCCGAGGTTGGCACAAATCGGGTCCGCAGAATCGGATGTAGGGCAACGAGCTTATCCCAAGACTCTTGCAACCGGCTTGCCACGAGATTGTCACTCAGTTTGAGTTGGAATGAAACAAAGTAGGACTCTTCTCCCTGGGAAAACGTCCGAGACAGCATGCCTTCCTGCAGGGGAGTGCACGGGGCAATGTAGTCAACAGAAATCCCTGCTGGAAGTGGCAGTTTCTGCCGAACTTCGTGTCTGAAGCGATGGCTAAACGCATGAATTTGCTGTTGGGCTTCTCTGACGGCGCTCGGAAAGTCGTGGTCATGGGGGATATCAAGGGCTTCGGCAAGGTCGCCGAGGAAGGGGTTCTTGAGTACCAACGCCGGGTCCGCAGTTCGCAGACCGTCCTGTTTCAAAAGTCGTGAGAGGCGAAGGCACGAGATCGAATCAATACCGAGGTCAAACAGGTTACTGTTCAGAGAGAGCTCGCTAGCAGAAACGCCAGAGAACTTTGACACAGCTCTCAGCACCGTCTTTTGGGTCTTTGTGGTAGCTAGGGCCTCCTGTGAGGGAGCAGGGGCAGAGACGTGCAGCAGCAGTTCCGGTGTCAGCGAGGCGAATAGGTGGCGTAGGATCTTCATTTCCGCCTTATTGTTGATGGAAAGAGGAATGAATGGAACCTCAAGGACGTAGGACGGCACCATGTAGCCAGGGAGTTTGTGACGGCATGCCTTCAGAACTGTCTGTCTGAGCTTGAAGGTTTCCGCTCCGCCAAGCACCTCAAGTTCACCAATTGATGTTGCTGCTTCGCTTGACGTGACGAAGGTCACCAGAAGATCCTTGTCCACTTTTGGATGCTTGGTCACAAGAGTGACCACGTCCTTGACGGCAGCAACACCTGTGCGGATGGCGTGGTTGATCTCTCCAATCTCCAGACGCTGTCCGCGTAGCTTGACCTGGTCATCAGCACGACCAAGGAACTCGAAACACCCGTCATACATGACCCGAACTAGATCTCCTGTGCGGTATATCTTCTCCTTGAAATGCTCAAGGACTGGGAAGCGTTCAGCAGTGAGCTCAGGGCGGTTCAGGTAGCCCTTGCCGACCAACTTCCCGGAAATGCAAAGTTCACCAACGGCACCTCTCAACACCGGCTTTTCAGTACCAGGCTCAAAGACGTAGGTGCCGACATTGTCGAACTGGCGCCCAATGTTGGAGGCGCGGCCATTCTGTGGCACGCGCTGATACATGGTTACGCCTATCGTGGTCTCTGTGGGGCCATATGCATTGTAGATGACTCCCTGAGGGCCCCAGGTGTCGAGAATCTCCTGTTTCAGGGCTTCGCCGCCCGTGATGAAGACGCCCCTGCAGAGTGTCGGGACATCCTTCGGGTCGAGAAGCCGAGCAAGGCTAGGCGTGAGATCCAGATGTGTGATGCGAAGACGTCGTATCGTCGCCGCAATGTCGTCGAGAATGATATCTCGCGGAACAACGACCAAGGGCATTGCGACTGACCAACTCCAGTATTGCTCCAGAACAGACACATCGAAATGGAACGAAGCGAACTGCAGCCACCTCGATTCTTCGTCCCAGTGACCGGCAAATAGACGCTGGAACGCCTTAATTGCTTGGACTGCATTCTCATGCGTTATCTCACAACCTTTCGGTGTACCCGTTGTTCCTGAAGTGTAGAGACAGTAGCAAGTGTCATTCTTGAACAAATCGTGGCCCAGTTGGCAAGGTTCAGCGCTGGCAGCGTAGAGCTTGCTCTCTTCGATCTCGACAACAATTTGCGCCGGCTGAAAGTCCAGAGCATCGCGGGCCAAGAGTGCTACGGCTCCCGAGTCTCTGAGGATGAATTCTTTCCTCGCTTTCGGGGCCGAGGGGTCAAGAGCTAGGAACGAACAGCCTGCCTTCAGAATGCCCAAGATGGCGAAAAAGGCTTCTGGGCACTTGTCAAAGTGCACCGCAACGATACCGCGGCTGGCAACATGTTGAGCCAATGTGTTGGCGACGCGGTTGCCCATCTCATTCAGCTCTTTGAAGGTGACGCTGTGACTCTCCGGGCTTTCACCGTTAAAGGCGGTAACGAATTCGAGAGCAAGCCCGTCGGGGGATGTTCTAGCCGTCTCTTCGACGAAATGGTGAAGAAATGCGACCTCGGAATCTATCTCAATGTCGCGCGGCGGCAGAATAGATGTCAATTCAGCATCATCGTGCCAGATTTGAGCTTCTTGGCCTTGTGGGTTGGTGGCGAGATCAGCTAAAATGGCATCGAATTGACGGAGGGCAATTGACGCCTGTTGCCGCGGAAGAACACCTGTATGAGACGATAGATGAAGACTGATATGCCCGTCGTTTGACGGCTCGATCTCCAGGGAAACAGCGTAGTCAAGCTTGCCCTCGTCACTGATCTGACGCCACGGCAGCTTCTGGGCCGATGACGGTCCGTTTGCAGTCTTCTGATACACGAGCAGAGTGTCGAATAGGGGGGTGCCTGGGTGGCCGAGCCATTGCTGTATTTTAGAAAGAGGTGCATGCTGGTGGGCCGACAATTGGCTGCTGTATTGCATCATTTGAGACAGAAGCTCCGTGTTGGACGCTTGGTTGTGAGAGATGACCGGGACTGTCGTGATGCAAGGGAACACTGCATCATCTGTCATTGGCAAGGTGCGGCCCGAAAGCACGACTCCAAATACAAGCGTTTGCTCGCCAACATAGGCAGATAGCAGCCGAGTCCACGCAGCCTGGAGCATGGCCTGAATTGTGACGCCGGCCATGCTGGCTCGGCTTTGAAGTGTAGCAAAATCTAGTCGCGAACGGCACGTCTCCGTGTACGTGGCCGAAGACGGTTCAATCAGAGGAGTCATTGTTGGGAACCTGTTGATGATGGTCTGAGATGACTTTTCTAGCCAGAAGGCTTTCGAGGACTCGTCTGCCAGGGCAGATCCAAGAATTGCAGAAACCACGTCTCGAGTAGAGCCAGTCGGAGTTGGAGGTGAAGAACCATTCAAGATGGAACCAAGATCTCCCAACAGCCTGTGAAGCGAATAGGCATCATACAGCGCATGGTGTATCAGTAGATGCAGTATCGTCGTTCCGCCTTGCGTCGCCAAAGCTATCCGCCACGGCGATTGCTCCAAGGCATTGAGCACTTGCTGAGAGCTTTGGGCCTTCCAAACTTGCGCATCGAAATCCGTGTCCGAAAATGTCACGCTCTTGGCCACAAGAGTTGCTGCGAAGGAATGCTGCACCATAGCAAAGGGAGCATCGGCATGGTTTGCGGGCACGAACCCAGTGCGCAAAATCGGGTGAGCTTGAACAAGCTGTCTCCAGGCGTTCTCCACCTCTTCAGGGCTGAGATGTTGGTCGAGTTCCAATGCCAGGTAATTGAGGTAATCGACTCCGCCAGATTCGATAAAGTCCTTCAGCATGCCACATTGCACCGGAGTGCATGGGAAGACTGCCTCCGGTTCCGTGTGAAGCTGGACCGCAACGGTCGACGCGATTGTTTGTTGGAATGCATCCACGTCGTAAATCGGACGTACTGGGCTTTGCTCTCCGACCCGACGAGCGATTCGCTGGCCAAGGCTTGCGCAAGAAGGACAGTCGACAACGTCAAAAGTCGAGACATTATGATCCTGCTTTCTCAAGAGGGTGGCAATCTGAACAGCGTTGATACTGTCCAGACCAAGCTGGAATATGGTTGTCTGGAGGCCGATTCGGCTCACTGCCACGCCTGAGAGCTTCGAAAGGATGTCGCGGATGGCTTTCTCCAGCTCGCTCCAAGGCTCTTTGTGCACAGTTGCAGAGTAGCTTGGACCAGAGAAACTACTTTCTTGTTGGTCGGGGTTGTTCTGGGGCGACTCGTGGGACGCGTTGGCTATACTGCTGCGTATGTCTTCTGGCAGGTCGTCTCGAGTGGGAATAACAGTAGCATGATGTCGTGCAATATGGCCGAGGACGTACGAGAAAGCTTGTGACATTGATGATGCTGTGCAAGGATCCAATGTCGCACTTGGCTGGTCAGTACAGCCGACGACACGCAAGGGGATGAGTAACTCACTTGTTGGTGTGGAGATTCAACTCTACTTTGTCAGTGTGTGCATTGGGAATCAACTCACAAACCAGCGGAACCTGTGACTTGTGTCAGTCCAGCTCACAATAACCTCATAGACAAGCCTCACATCCATGCCTCCGGTATCTTCAGCAAGCTCCCAGATCGCGCTGTCGAGGTCTTTCTTGGGGGGTTGCAACAGAAGAATAGTGTCGAAGAGGCTCCGACCAGGCCGAGACACAAGTTTTTGAATAGACCGCAAAGAGGCGAATTGGTGATCGAGGATTTTTGAGTTGAGCACGTGCAGCTTCGTTAGCAAGTCCGTCACCTGCATGCGCCGGTTGGTTTCGATGCGAATGGGCACCGTGTTGAAGCACGGCGCAACCAGTCGTTCAATGCCGCTCACGGGAAGAGTGCGGCCACTCATGACGTTTCCAAAGCACACGTCATCCTGGCCAGACACGATGCCAATCAAGATGGCCCAGGTAGCCTGTCCAAGAGCTAATATCGATGTGTTGGTATCCCTGGCAACCTTTTGCCAGGCGGTCAAGCCTAAACTAATCTGCGACGTGTACGTTTGAGGTCGGGGTGGCGGAGACGTGTAACCCAGAGGTAACGCTTGCTTGCGGTTGATAAAAGTCTCCCGCCTCGCTCCGACGAAGCCTTTGAACAATTCTTTCCAGAAGCCTTCGCTACTTGGCTGCGGTGACAGCATCTGTCGTATCACGGGCGTGTATGGTATGGGCGATGGCAAGCTCTCCCCTCGAACAAGCTGCTCTATCTCCTGGAGAAGAACGCTCATGGACTCTCCGTCGTAGAGTGCATGGTGGCAGGTGAAGACCAAGAAAAAGGTGTTGTCGATGTCGAGAAGATCTAAGCCGTAGGGCGGTCGTTGTGAGTCGAGAGCGAAAGGAACTCGTCTTCTACAGTTTTCTACAGCGTCTTCAAGGCTCGGGTGCCTTGACGTCCTCAACGGGACCTCCCATCTTTGCAGGACGACCTGGGCAATGGCGTACTGGGCATCCGTAGTCGTGACGAAGCACGTCCTCAGAATATCGTGGCGATCAATCACCGTTTGCCAGTGGCTTTTCATCTCCGGCGAAGAGGCAGTCAGTCGCAGGACTAACTGGTTGGAGTACGAGGAAGCACCAGCAGCTGATAGCATGGCTTCCTGCAAGGGAGTACAAGGTAGAACCTCCTGGACAGCATGTTTGTGTTCAGCGAATTGCGCGGTGATGTGCTCTCTGATGTCTTGGGACAAGAATGGCGAGTCAGTCGCCTCATCCTCAACGACACGTTCATCTGGCGCGTTCTCTGTCGCAAGCCGAGCTAAGAGGGCAACGTAGGGGTTCTGTAAGATGTGAGAGATTGGGATGCGTCGATTGACCGTGTCCCCAAGTGACCGTGCCACAGAAATGGCCGAGATGGAGTCCAGACCGATCGTTGCCAACGGTTGCCAGCGGGAGACCCTATCACGTGGTACATTCAGACTCTGTGCAATCACCTCAGCTACTAGTCTTTCGCTGTCAGACCACTCGTCTTCATCGGTCCCATGCTCTTGGTTATTGGAGACGAGACCGAGTTGATGTTGGGTGAGTCCATTGAAGAGGCTGCGCAACGCCGCCTTGTCCACCTTGCCGCTGGAAGTCTGAGGTATGGTGCTCAGAGGGATCAGGTACGACGGCACCATGTATCGTGAGAGTCGCGACGATAGTTGCGCAAAGAGCTGCTGGTTAAGGGCTGCGAGCTCGTCATGGAAGTCGAACGACGCGTTTGCTACATTCGTGTGGGCTGCTGGTGTGTAGAAAGAAACGAGCTGTTCGCTGCTCGATCCAGTGGGCTGCAGGATCAGTGACGTACACGAGAGGACTTCTTTGGCTGCTGTCACAATACTGTCGATTTCTCCGGTCTCGATGCGTTGGCCCCTCAACTTCACCTGGCCGTCCAGACGTCCCGTCACCAGCAAAGACCCGTCAGGTAGCATCCGGCCCATGTCTCCAGAGCGATAGATGCGGCCGAACTCGGGGTGGTTGACGAACTTCGCACTAGTGATCTCTGGGAGATCAATGTAACCCTGCGCAACTTGATCGCCGCCAAAACAGAACTCGCCGAAGCATCCGCGGGGAACGCTTGACATTGAATCTGTCGAAAGGACAAAAGCAGAGACGTTTTCAAATGCAAACCCGAGGTGGTTAATGTAGTCGCCTTTTGTCATTTTCTTGACTGTGCAAATATTCGTTGTCTCGGCTGGACCGTACCCTATTACTTATTAGTCGAGCTGTGAGGGGCTGGCGCTTCATGTTTCACCTTGGTAGAGGTACTCGCCCCACGACTCCGAAACGGCTGAAGTCATTGGTTCGCCGGCGGTGACCAGAAACTGAACATTTGGAACGTGGGATGGGCGGATGAGCGACGCCACAGTGGGCGTCAAGCTGAGATGTGTGCAGCCCAGTGAGCGTATGGACTGCTCCAGATCTGCGAAGAGAGTGTCGTTGGACCCCGCGCACAAGCAGGCACCTGTTTTCCATGTGAAAAATATCTCAAACACCGAGACATCGAACGCTTGGGAACAAAGCTGCAGAAAGCGACTTGTCATGTCGTGGGGGTACAAACGGGATAGAACATCAAGATTGCTTGTGATATTAAGCTGGGTCACCACAATACCTTTAGGAACACCGGTCGTCCCAGAGGTGTAAATGATGTATGCGGGGCGAGAGGGCTGAGCTTGTCGAGGCGGATTGTGTGTGGGAAGTTCTGACAGTGACGTCGACTGCATGTCGTAGAGCGGGCAAGCCACGACGTCTGCCACTGCAACAATCGCCTGCTGATCGACCAAACAGGCAGTGGTCGAGGCCTGAGAAAGGATTAATTGCAGTCTGCTGGCCGGTGTGGATGGAAGAAGAGGCAAGTAGGCAGCCCCAGCCTTCAAAGTCCCAAGGATCGTGGCATAAAGCAGAATTGACTTTTCCATCACGATGGCGACTGTGTCGCCTTCGAGCACTCCCTGGCTACGCAGGTACCATGCAATACGATTCGACAGGTTATTGAGCTCCTGGTAAGACATGGTTTCGCAATCAAGGTTTGATGAGGTGAAGGATTTGGCAAAGCAGATCGCATCTGCCTCAGGCGCCGCCGATGCCGAACGTTCAAAGCATGTCGCCAGGTCAGGGCTATCTGCCAATGTCACTGGTTCCGGATTGTAGATAGACGCCAGCGCTGGCGGCACGCACTGCGAGACATCATGCAACAGCGCGGTCGGGTTGATGTGGAGAGTTTGAGTGATGCAGTCGATCTGGTCGAGGAAGAGAGTTGCGAAATCAGGGGACATGGCGTCAGCATGGTATGTGATATGGCACTTGAAACTGTCCACGACTGGTTCGATCTCGATCAAGACTTTTGTCTCGAGGAAGTCGCGGTGAGAGACTTCTCGAATCGGAGATGCGTGTCGCAGGTGACTAGTGAGCGATTGTTGATAGACGAAGAGTATATCATACAAGGCGTCGCCAGGTTGTATACTGGCCGCCCTGCGGATTTCGGACAAGGGCAGGATGCCGTGCTGCAGAGATCTTCGATTCGTCCTTTGCGTGTTCCTCAGCAGATCCCCAACAGTTTTTAGAGCCCTGAGGTCAGTTCGTAAAGGTAATGAAGCTATGCAGGGCCCCATGATATCCTCAATGCCGTCGACGGGAAGAGTCCTGCCTGACGAGACGCAACCAATGACAACGTCCGAGGTTCCCAGTATTGTGCCCCAGATCAGCGTTACAGCAGCTTGGAAAAATACCTGGGCATGAAAGCCGAGCTTCTTGGCCGCTTCTTCCAGATCCCCCTCCGACAGCGTCAGCGTACGCGACATTGATTGAGGCTCCGAGGAATCAGGTGGTCGGCTCATGAGGCGTGGGAAACTTGGCTTTTGCCAGTCAAACAGCTGCTCTGCCCAAAATGCTCTAGAAACATCCAGGTCTATCAACGGAGCCGAGTTGAAAAATGCTGTTACTTGTCCGAATTGAGGCCGAGGTCCTGCTTCTTGACCTGCCAGGATGGCCGTCAAGTCTTGGATCATGAGGTCGACGGTCCAGCCGTCGTAAATGGCGTGATGCATACGCAAGAGAAGGCGTGGGGGAGCTCCGGCCGCCGAGTTTGCAACCTGCGCCTGGAAAGGGCGAAGCCAGATACTCTCATAGTCATCATCCGCAGTCTGTTGCGCGGACAACGTAAACTGATTGACGCTTTGGATCTGGGACTTTGGGAGTGATTTCAAAATCACACGCACAAAGCTGCCCCCAGTCTCAACGAAACCCGATCGGAGAATGTCGTTTTGCTGCACCATCTTTTCCAGGCAATTCCTTACTTGCTCGAGAGAACATGAGGCAGGGAATTCCAGTTCGAGCAGATTGTGGTACGCACTGCTGTTGGCGGATGTCTCAAACAGCATGGAACTCTGGAGCTGGGTACACCAGTCAAACCCTTCGATCTGGGAGTCCATACTTTGCAACGTGTCGCTCGATGCCAAGATTTTCTTAGCATCCGGCGGCTGCTTGATGTGATGCCGTCTTTGAGCCTCATTGTCCACAGCTCGGACTTTGGTACACAAAGCGGAGATTGTGTTGGAACTGACCACATCAAGAGGGGATGTTTGGAGACCTTCCTTCCGCAGCGCCGACGCTAGTTGAATTGCCCGAAGGGAATCAATGCCATGTGCTGACAGAACATCCTGAAGAGTCACAGGAGACCCGACCAAATTTGAGATCGCTGTCGTGATCTTTTTTTCCAGAGGACCCAGGTCATTCTGCGTCACGGTGGTGTTGGTGTTCTTGGTGACTCCGTACTCGCGCCTCATCTGGTGGCGATCAATCTTGCCCGAAGCCAGCCGCGGAAACTCATTGATGATGACCACATCTCCAGGGATCATAAAGGTTGGGAGCCATTGCCTGCAAGTCTGCAGAATCGACTCAGAGGTCAGTTCTTTAGATGAGTCTGTGGCTTCGAGAACACAAAAGATGACCAGAATATTGTCGACGACCATGGCGATAGCGTCACGACATTGTGGGTCTCGTATGGCAGCCTGCTCCACCTCACCCAGCTCGATTCGCTGGCCACGGAGCTTGACCTGACCGTCAGAAATCCGGCCAAAACACTCGAGTGTGCCATCTGATTGCATGCGAGCTTTGTCTCCGGTGCGATATAGACGGCCGTAGGGAGAGTCTATGAAGGCCGCATCGGTTTGTTCGGGCCGGTTCAGATAGTTTTTCGCAAGCTGATAGCCACCCACCACCAGCTCACCAATCTGGCCGATTGGTGATAGGGTGAAAGAAAAGCTGGAGTCGTCAGGCGGTATCTCAATCACGAAACATGAAACCGTGTCGAACGGAGCTCCTATTACGCGGGGCGAGGAATTCGCCGAGAAAGCAGTTTGTAATGTACTAGCGAAGCATTAGTCAAAGAACCAACGAGGATATGACGGACTGCTGACCAGTGAATAGCTGCTTCTGTCGGTCCATACATTCCCCAAAGTATACTCGGCGAAGTCGAGTCTCCTCCAAACTCTTTCACAACCCGTGGCGTCAGCATTTCTCCGATCGTGAGCAGCAGCTTCAGCGAGGGTACGCTTGCTCTGGTTCGAAGGAGGCTTCCAGCGACGGTGGGCGTCAGCTCGCATGCGTCAACACGCATTGCTGTCATGACACCCGGGAGGTCATCCAGCATCTTAGACCTGTCACAGGTGACCAACGTACAGCCTCGAAACAAGGGGAAAAATATTTCGAAGACAGACACGTCAAAGGTTGGCGAGGCAAATTGCAGGAACCTCTCAAACTCTGGTATATGACGGTCGTGAGCGAGCAGACTTTGCGTTGCGGCATCGTGAGTTATGCCTACTCCCTTGGGAGTTCCTGTAGAGCCTGATGTGTACATGACATATGCCAAACTCTGGGGCTCTGGGGTGTTGATCGGAGGTGTTTCTTCCTTGGCGACTAAGAAATCCGTGACCAAGTCAAGGGCAGTGTTGGTGTCCGTCAGAGTGATCAGAGAGATGCCGAGCTCATCTCCAGCGACTTTGGAGGCCAGTTCGGGTGTCGTCAGCACAACCCTGGCACCGACGTCTTGCAATATGAACTTGATTCTCTCGGGTGGTGCATCGAGGTTCAGGGGACAAAAGGCGCCACCGGCTTTCAAGATGGCTAACAGGGCAATGTACAGTTGTGTGCTCTGTGGGACCAGGACGGGGACGATAAACTCGGTCTGAGGAGACAAGCCGCGCGAGGCAACCACCCTAGTAGCTAGACGGTCTGCAGCTTGGTGCAGTTCTGAGTAGGATACTTCAGACAAATGGCCGAGACGAGAAAGAGAGGAAATAGAAGGAAGATCAAGTTTTGAGCGTTGCGCAACGAGCTCGTGGAGAAGACATGGTCCGGGCAGTCTTTCGGGTGGATGGTTTGATATGGATAGTGCGGAGCTGGACTGAGACGCCATCGAACCGGTCTCTTGGTTCGACATGTTGGCCTGCTTGAAGGCTGTTTCCCCTGGCAAGATATGGCGATTACTATATTCCGAGCGGCGCTGGTGTAGCCGGGAAGGTTATAATGTCGTGAGCGTCATGCGATTTGTCGAGCGAAACCGACCTGGTAGGTGAGAGCCAAGGATTGTATGTAACGCGGTCCACGCTTTCGCATTGCTGCAAAGTGTCAAGCAGAGTAGATCGCGGTGCCGTGGTAGCGGGGGAGAGCTTAGGATAGCTAGCACAGCGAAAGTGGCGCCAGATCTGTAGAGATTGGACCAGGTACCAGCTTTGTGCAACGAGGTCAAGGCGAACGACTCGTCGTGGCAGCCAATTATGTTCAAGGTGATTGACAGATTCAGGGCTTAGCTGCAAGCTCGATGTGCTGGGGTGCACACATGCGCATCATCTAACAGGGTAGGATGCTTGACGATGGGGACGCCACAGCCTCTCACAGGCCAGCGATTACTCAGCGTGGATCAACCTGGGGACAAAACCGCGCGAAGAGCTCGACGTTGCCGCTGGAGACGCTTGAGTGTCGACGTAGATGATGCAATCAATGATCGTTGATTCGTCGACCTTGTTGTAGAAGGGTGTTACTGCAATACAACACAGACCGCGTGCCGTCCCTGATCGAAAGGGGAGGTCAAGCCTGTGGCGACGAGGATTCGAACCCGTGTCAAAGTCTATAAGAGAGTTGTATGACAAGACGCATCAGGCGGCTAACGGAACTGCGTTTCGCGCCGTCCCGCGGGTTGGGTGCAAGGGACGAAGCTCTGTGCTGGGGCTCAACGAATGTGGCTTCAGAGACATGACTATTTAGTCACGTTTCTGGTCCGGAGGAAGGCAGGTTTTACCTTGTTGACAGGGCCAAGATAAGAGTTCAAAGACTTACTTCCAGGCCAGGGTGTACGATCAAGCGACAGCTAGGCTCATGCCTGAGCAGCGGACACGCCAGTCAGTAATCTCCTTGACGCAGGGTCGTAAGGCTGAGAGGGGCAACCACCGTTTGGTGAGAGACGCGATTGCTGGGTAACCAACGAGGCTTGCCACTCGAGCGATCTATGTCGTCATCAACCGGGGGGTGTGGCTGGTCACAAACCATGTGTCAGGAAGGGAAGGCTCTCAGACTTCTAGGGGCGCGGCTGCCAGAAGTGCGTCGAGCTCTGGTTAGACAGTTTTGCTTGGCTTCACTGGGAGCAACTGTCTTGAGGCACGACAGGAGGTGAAGTGTGATTAGGTAAGAATGTCAGCTTTCGACCTGTTGCCAGCCTACGAGTCATCGCTTGATGCTTCAGCCTGCGTGAGACCCCTCGTTTCCAAGTGCTTACTTTGCCATTCGGCCGGGGCAAGTGATTAGCCCACTGGAGCAGGGAGGACACTGGGCCTCGGGCTCCGATGTCCGAGCAGGTCAACGACCGCAGAGGTCGGGTGCCGAGACAAGCGCCAGGGTACATGAGGGAAGGGTCCATCAAGCCTCATTTGAGGCAACTATTGGGAAACCTCGTACGGTACGCGATGAAGGAGATCAGGTTTTTGCGCCATAACAAAGAAATAGTTGCCGTTATTACCAAGGATCCTGACTCGGGAGGGCCGTCTAGATTCCTCGTAGGACGGGCCAGTGTGCGCCAAGTGACACGTTCTCATGGGGCGCTGATGAAGAATTGCAGGAGGCCAGAAAACAAGCTCGCCGTAGGCGTCGGAACGTGAGATGTGACACCAAGAGACGAGAAGGGATGGCGCCATGACGGGTTCTGGAATACGTGATATGGGAGCATGGAACCCGGAAGGCTGGAAGCCATGGCTGCATGTGACTTGAAGAAAAGAGTGAGGGTGGGGTGGTCACCACGGCCATCCCACTCTGCAGTAGACAGGATATGGGTGCATACCGCCGGTGGAACTGCTCAAATCGGCCAAGGTGCCATGCTAGAGTCGAGCGTGGTGGTGGGCAAGTGGGGGGCGGAGCGCGGCGGAAGAGGAGAGCGCATGTCGTTGACGGGTCTGGTAAGTAAGGTATGAACAACTGTGATGACAAGAACTGTGACGATGGAAGCGAAAACGTCGTCGTCTGGCCCAGACCCTGGCAGCCTTGGGGCCGCGGAGCGGTCGATCGAAAGACGCAGAGCCAAACTCAATCCTGAGGCCCAATGCGGGATGAAGCGAAAGACGTACTATGTACAGCAGCTCAGTCAACTGCAGTGCTGGGACTTGATGGAGTACGTGCCAAGACCGCAGTGGTGTCGTATGAGATTACTCCCCTCTCTTGAGTGACCTAGGTACGGGCAAGTTAATGTCGGGTGCTGATGGGTGCTGATGGTGTTCGGGTTTGAATCCTCGCAGGAAGGGAAGGGCAACTCGGCGTCTAGTGGGCATGAACAGTTCAAAGTCAATTACGGTAGTGCGTGGCGGCGGGATGATCAGGTCTGGTCGGGGTAACTGAGGCAGGTAGCGTAGGTAGGTATCTACCTACCTAGGTCCTAGGGAACGCGACGAAGGGAGCGGAACGAAGAGAAAGAGCAACTGGCACGATGCCTGGGCGAAGGGGCAGGTGGCATGGATCAGAGTTTTCACACTCTTGCCGGCCCATGATGAAACTGGCTTGACGGCTCCGAGTTTGCACTGCGGTCAAGGGCGAAAGGGAAGTTTCCATCGGCCGAGGTCCTACCCACTGACTGGCCTGTGCCGTCTGATCCTTGCCAGCCCTGGCGCCTCTGATCTTATCAGATCATCAGATAAAATTCCCTCACCCCCACTTGATCCACTCTCCGTCCAATCATGGGGGTTCGTGGCACCCGAACCACTTTCCACCGCGAGCAAGCACATCGTCTCCTCGTCATTTCATCGTCTCGTCACCCTACGAGCTCCACGACGACCATGCCTCATTCAGATCTTTTCCGGCACATCCTCGCGCTTGTGCCCAGTCCTGGATACTACTCTCCGCTCTCGGAGCTGACCGGCGCGTCTTGGGCTCTCGTTTGATGTGGTCCCTCTGGTTCTCTAGTTTCCCCTCTGCCCCACGTCTTCGTTTCTGGCCCAGCTTCCAATCCCGCCGATCATTCCATCCCGTCTCCGGCCATGACAACGACATGGAGGCCATCTCAACGGGGCCCGTGAGACCACAGCCAGCCCCCGCGTCAGACCCTGGATTGGATCTTATCAGATCCGAAGATAACCCCGAATTCGAGTTCGCGGCGGATCTGTCCAAGGGGCCCCTGCAATCCAGCCTGAACATGGCATCACGGGCCTCGCTTGCAGATTCTTCAAGCCCTTGACTACCCGCAGCATGCTCCAGGCCTCGCTGGCGCCGAGGAGGAGCGCCAGCAGGAGGAGCGCTCCGTAATTGCCTCTTCCCACTTACCGAACCGAACACGACCGAGCACTGCTGCTGAGCATGCTTCATACCCTTTTGTATGTGCCATATCATCGAGGGCTGATGCGCAATGGCTATCGCCTTCTGCCCTTGGCAAGGCCCAGCCACACTTGGCCGCCGCCGAGGCGATCACAGCAATATCAAGACGGCCGCAACGTCATTCAGCATAGCAATTGTGTGCGTGCGTAGACCGCTACGTATTGGAAGGCGCACTACCTAGGAACGCGGCCCTACCTACGACTGACGAGCCACACACACACACGACCACACACCATCGTCGCTCTCGGGACTCAGCACAAGCACTGATCTTCTCCCGATCCACTGCACATGCCGAACATCGACCCTTACTTTTTTCTCACAAGCCTTGCCATTACCCAATGGCCAGCTGCCAAGCAGGGACTACCCGGACATCGCTCCATACTGCCGTACAGTGGTCCCTGAAGACCCCCCCTGTCCTGGGCGCTACTCGAACGACGATGGAAACCCTGCAGCCCCTCACCACGTCAAAGGAGGGCATCTGAAGCCGAGCTCGACTGCATCTGGGTCGTCTTCTGCACACCACCTGCCTCATGGCGATGAGACGCTGCAGCTGTGCGCCCATTAGCCTGACATGTCGTCCCGACGAACAGCAAGGGGGGGTGTGGGCACGGGTGTGAGTGCAGTCATGCTGTGAGTAGACCGAACAGGAGAAGAGAGAGAGGAGGCAAGGAAGAAAAAAAAAGATGCCATGCGGATCGGCTGTCCTAATGCCCTCGGCTTGTCGTCGCAACTCCGACAGTGTCTATGATGAACCTCGTGCGATGCCTCCACACCCCTCCCCCCCCCCGCCAGCGACGGCGACCCTCGTCTGCCCATGGTGGTGAAACTTAAGATGACTCTACTGTGTCTTCGTCAGTTGCCTGCACTACATATTACCCCTCAGGTCGCCCGTCCGTTTTTTTAATCCATCTATTTTCTTCCCTCCCTCCTCGTCCTTAGCATTGCTACCGGTCGCTGACATTCACACATACCTGACTACCCCATTCTACCCACTTCATCTACGTCACCAGCACAACCCGCCTGCGCGTCTGGAACTTTACCACCTCGCGCATTCGGCCAATACTTGTAGTCGAATAACCAACCTTGAGTCGTCTATTCGAGTGTTGGGCGCCTAGCAGCACATTGTTTGATTCCGCATAAGTTCGTTGGCAGTCCACCCACAGCCTGGAAGCTTTTTGTCATTCGTTGCGACGATAGGAAGCTAGCTTGAATCTGCCTGCCAAATCACCGGAGACGCCGTTCGACCCGCACCACCGGCCACATTTGTCATTAATTCCCGCTCATCATGTCTCCTCATCTCGACACGCCCATGAGCACCACAGAGGCCTCTGAAGCCATCCAGAGCTTCTCGGCTTTCAGCAATGGCGGGGCCGTCCAGAACAGCACCGCTGTGAACGGTTTCAACGGCACCAGCAACGGCAACGGCCACGCTGCTCCCACACAATCCTCTCGCGCCCTCAAGTCAAACCTTCAGCCCACCGACCCCAGTGAGCTTCATGACCTGGTCTGCGTTGGCTTCGGCCCCGCCAGTCTGGCAGTCGCTGTCGCCATGCACGACAACCTGGCCGCCGGCAACCCACTCGTCCCCAACGCCACTGAGAAGCCCAAGGTCCTCTTCCTCGAGAAGCAGCCTCGTTTCGCGTGGCATGCCGGCATGCTGCTTCCCGGAGCCAAGATGCAGATCTCGTTCATCAAGGACATGGCTACGCTGCGCGACCCCCGCTCACACTTTACCTTCTTGAACTACCTCCATCACGCTGGCCGTCTTGTTGAGTTCACCAACCTGGGAACCTTCCTCCCCTCGCGAGTCGAGTATGAAGACTATCTCCGCTGGTGCGCCTCTCACTTTGACGACGTTGTGCAATACCAGCGTGAGGTCGTCTCGGTGTCGCCCAACCCCCAGTCTGAGGGCGCTGTCAAGACTTTCACCGTCAAGTCACGCAATGCCAAAACAGGCCAGGTCACCACTGTCCAAGCGAGGAACGTTCTCATCGCCGCCGGTGGACGGCCTCTGATTCCGAAGAGCCTTCCCGCTGCCAGCCCCAAGGTCATTCACTCCTCACAGTACGCTCACCAGGTGCCCAAGATTCTCAAGAACACTCAGGCGCCCTACCGCGTCGCCGTCGTCGGTGCTGGCCAGAGCGCTGCCGAGATCTTCAACAATGTTCAGAAGCTGTACCCCAACTCAAAGACGTGGCTCGTCATGCGCTCCGAGTTCTTGAAGCCGAGCGACGACTCTCCCTTGTAAGTTCCATGCACAGCACACTAGCCCTCCGTCCCGTTCCATTGGCTAATGGACACTGTCGCAGCGTCAACTCGATCTTCAACCCCTCCTACACAGACTCCCTGTACCCCCGCTCCCAACAATACCGCCGTGCTCTCATCAAGGATGCCAAGGCGACTAACTATGGCGTCGTTCGCCTCGAACTCATTGAGCATCTCTACGAAGTCATGTACGACCAGAAGCGCGAGTACGGCGATGATGAGCGCCAGTGGCCTCACCGCATCCTCAACGGAAGGAGCATCGTCAGCGTCAACGAGGGCAACCACGAGTCCGACAGGCTTCAGCTGCACGTGCGACGTGTCGAGGACAGCTTCAACCAGAGCGGCATCACTGATGAGTTCCTTGAGCAGGGGCCTAGCAGCGAGGAAATTCTCGACGTCGACCTCATCATTGCTGCTACTGGCTACCAGCGCAATGCTCACGTTGACATGCTGCGCGACAGCTGGAACCTTCTTCCCGAGACTCAGCCCGTGAGCTCCGGCCCGCGTGAGCAGGTCGACGGATGGGAGATCTCCGAGGGTAACGTCGACTCTGGTTCGAGGAAGCTCGAGGTTGGACGCGACTACAAGGTCCGCTATGCGCCTGGCGCCATCGCCCCTGATGCTGGTGTTTGGCTGCAGGGTTGCTGCGAGGCCACCCACGGCGTAAGTTTGCATTTTCCGATTCGATTTTCTTCAACTATACTAATGGTTGCCTTTAGCTGAGCGACAGTTTGCTTTCCGTGCTTGCCGTGAGGTCCGGCGAGATTGTTGATTCCATCTTCCCTTCGCCGTCCAAGTCCGAGACAAGCTCGGTCTAACATTACAAATACAATTATTCTTTTCTTGCACAAGAAGCATTAGGGTCATATGACGGCGCGGAACCTTTCTTTTCAATTCATATAGAACCTGGCGATGGTGAAAGGATGTCCATCCGACAGGTTAGATGCGCGTCGATTGATCATGGTATTGATTGGTATGGGTTGCCCAGGCGCAGCCAAAATACGGGAGTTAGGCATTATGAGATTTTGTCTTTAAAACTTTGGGTCACTTTATCAAAAGAGCATTTTCATTTCCTCAACTGGAGATACAACCCTCGCAGCTGACATGACGATATGGAATCGTGAAGGGGCCTGCTATGTTGGGCGAGTGATGCTTGCGTCAGGGTCCACCCGTGTGACAGGTCATTTCAACACTGTAAAGGTGCATTGTGTCGTGACAGCAGTGGCTGATGACACCAGCGGTCGACATCTGACAGTACCATCGCACATTCGCGGCATTCGCGCTCGACGTTACCTACAGAAATGCATGTCGTGATCAAAGTCCAGTCATGACCATGTCGCCCCCCGCGAAGGCAGGACTGATTGCACGGTCGGTCGCTTCGTGCTTCCTATTCAGATTCTCCGCCTCGGCGAAACCGCAAGTCGCCCTCTTCAGACGAAGCGCCAAAGTGCGAGCCTACCAGTAAGCGGCTCTCTCTCGAGGTCTCAGTCGAACGACCGACTCATCAACGTCTCATCATCTAGGCATCGGCTGGGACCCATTGCTGGCAGCATCGAGGAGACTGATGCATCGCCCGTCGCCGCTGTTTGGCGTGAGATCAAGGAAGAGACAACATTGACGCCGGCGCACTTGGACCTCTTTCGCCAGGGAAAGCCTTACTCGTTCACAGACGAGGGGGTCGGTCGCATATGGACGGTCCATCCGTTTGCTTTCCATCTCAAGGATGGCCGAGATGAATCTTGCATCCAGCTCGACTGGGAGAACGAAGGCTGGACGTGGCATGATCCCCTTGACGTCACGGATGATGAGTCGTTTGGAGGCGTGCCGTTCCTCGCGAAAAGCCTACGACGCGTCTGGTTCGAGATGGACCTAGGCGAAGAGAGGGGCAGGATCTTGCGAGAAGGCCTGCTTGTGCTTCGAGACGATCATAGCAGCGGCGCAAGGCAATTGGCCGGCAGAGCCCTCAGAGTGTTCCAGGACATTGTTGCCCTCGGTCATGGCGAAGACATTAATGTCTGGTGGCGGAATGCGAGGTTCGCGGCCTGGCACCTGTGGAAGAATGGCCGCGAAAGCATGGGTGCCGCCATTTTAAATGTTATCATTCGTGCCCTCACGATTGTCGAGAGAGAGGTCCAGCAATTCGGGAGTGACGTGGTTGAAGCTGCTCTCTTGCATTCCATCGCGCGACAGCTCGACCAATATTCCGAAGCACGAGCAGCCACCATTGGGTCCTTCGCGAAGTCTCTTCAGTCGGTGCTCGAAAGAGCCCGGCCCGATACGAAGAGCCCCGTCAAGATTCTCACTCTGTCATCGAGTTCCACCATATTTGAGTCGCTGCAGATGATCGTACAGGAGACGGATATTCCTCTTGACCTTCGCGTGCTGGAGTCGCGGCCACTTTTTGAAGGCGCGCAAATGGCCTCCAGATTAGCCGCCTGCGCTCAGGAACCAACAAAGGCACGGCGTAATGCCGTCTGCGTTACCGTATACTCTGATGCATCAGCCGCCATTGCGAGCCAGGGAGTCGACATTGTGCTTCTCGGCGCTGACCTCATCAGCAGAGAAGGAGACGTCAGCAACAAGACTGGCTCCTTGCCCGCCGTCCTCAGCGCTCGACATGTCTCACCCGGCGTGCAGGTGGTTGTGCTTTCGGAGCGAGAGAAGATCCTTCCATTGGCAGCGCCTGGCCACGCAGAGGAAAACGATGAGGCAGAAATAAAGAGAGCATGGGACCAGGGGACGGACAGTGACGTTAAAGGCCAGGTCGCGATCAAAAATGTCTATTTTGAATGGGTGTCTTCCGATCTGGTCACCACCTATATATCCGAGGACGGAGAGTTGACCCGAGGGATGGTGGCAGAACAGGCGGTTCTGGTTGAACAGCAGGCGGACCGGCTCTTTGCCGAGTCGTGAATGAAGACGAAGCTTCGCCCCCCCCCCCCCCCCCCCCAAAAAAATTCAAAAAGTCCCGGGGACCCCAAGCCGCCCCGAGGGGCCATACTTGGCTCATGCCAGTGCGCTTCCTTCCGCGGTTGCGTCGCGCCTCGCTGACGGTCGCTGTGGCCATCCACGCGACCCAAACGATGCCGGCCACGATGCCATATGCAACTTTGAACCTGGTCTCTGCCCCAGCGATCGCCAGCCCCAATGCCCCCGTTGATGATGCCAAGCGTAATTCCCACTCGTCCGCCTGCTAAATGTAGGTAGGACCAGCCGGTTCGGCGCCCAACTTTCTTGAAGTAACGATGATGCAAGTAGCCCATGATTGGCATCAAAATGAAGACCACGCCCAGCGCACTCCCGATACCAACGTGAGCGACCACCAGGTCGTCGTCGAGCTGCCAGAGTCAGGCACGTGGGTTCACCATGAACGTCCTCTGATTCACTTACAAGGGGAAACCCTCCATCCTGAACCAAATTTACAATGTAGGCACCTAGGCCAATCGAGGCGATGAACAAGGCTAGAGCAGCCAACTGTGTGACGGCGTGAAACCAAATCGACATGCGCCCCGGCACCAGCCTCATCAGAACAGCTCCGAGTGGGAAGAGGGCAACGAATGCGACCAGGGCGAGGATTCCGTGTACCGTCCGCAGATACGAAGCACGTTCGACATCGAACCCCGCAAATCCGGACTGTGACGATGATGATGACATGTCGGATAAGCTCTGGGGGCCGGAGTTGTCAGAGCCACCACCTGAGTTTGGCCCATCAGAGCCTTGCTCTTCGTGATACCATCCTGGCATCCTGAAGGCGTTCACTGTGTATGCTGAGGAATATGTGAGTATGAACAGCCGTGGCATCATCTAGCATCAAGCAGCTGGGAGCAGGGCTTTGTCGGGGGTGACTACCTTGCATTGTGATGAGGCTGGAAGCCACCAGAACGTGTGACAATGGCATTTTTACACGTCGAGAGATCTGGCCATGCATAAATGCAACTGGAGAGATGCTGGTCTCGGAATGCGGCAGGTCCCAGCCCTTTAACACCTCTCTGACGGCTGTGATCGACACGGACACGGTTGGGGTTGTGCGGTTCACCACCACAGCAGAAGCACTAGCAGCAAGTCTGCATCCAGATGGCATGCGCCGACATGAGCTCTGCTGCCTCAGAAATACCAATGGCCGAATCAAAAAGTGCCCGACAGCTGGCATGAGACGAGAAGAACGCGTAACCGCCCTAAAAGTCGAACAACATCCCGACAGACCGCTTGCTTCGTGGCCCATCATGCGTGTGGGTGTGTAGCACAGAGCGCCCGCCGCGTCAGCATTTCTACTTGGAGCATTTCTGGCCTGTAACGAATGCGATTTTGGTAGACACCATCAAGACAGCTGCTGTGCAGAGCCATGGATCCTGACTGATTCGGCGACATCGCATACCTGTTGTGTTTTACGAAATGACATGTCCATTGAGGTCGCTGATATCTGGAATTGTATGACGACAGCAAACAGCATATGCTTTACTCTTGAGGCTCTGGCTCGTCCTCCACAGTCTTCTTCTGCATCGTGGCTAGCTGTGCGTGGAGGCCCTGCTTTCCAACCTGCATTGCTCGTTCGATTTCGCGTTCCTCCTCACGTAGCCTGGCTTTGCCCATCTCTAAGCTACGCTGCTGCAGTCGTTTCTGCTCGGCAACTCTCTCTTCATGGTTGCGTAAGGCAGCTTCACGACGCTGCTTGGCGTCCCTGGCCTTCTTCGTGGCCTCGTCTTCTTCAGTAACCTCTCCACCTTCGGGGGCCGGCTCGGCGGTCTGGATAAACGTCTTGATGAGAGGATCGCGCACCGCGGGTGGCAGTGAGATGTATCGAATGTCCACGAGAAGTTGTGATGGCAGTCTCGCGATGCTGGATTTGTTGTTGAGAACCGAAACGGGGAGAGCCTTGAGCGCCGCGGCGAGGTCCGCTTTGAGTGTCGCTTGGGGCATCTTGAGCCGGTTGATGTGCTCTCGGTACCACTTCTCTCGGTCCTTGTCCTTGACGTGGGGATCCGTCATTGCCGCCTCCTTCCTGTATTTCCTCTTGAACTCTTGCCAGTAGAGCTTCGGGTTCGCCTTGTCCTGTAGCAGGGCCATGTATGGGATTCGAGGGTCAGTCTTCTCCTGCTTGGCTCGTTGTTCTTTGAGCTCCTGGATTTTGTCCTTTGACCATTCTTGCCACGTTTCCTTCCTCGCCTTCATCGTGTCCAAGACCGTGTACCGTGGGTCGTCTACTAGACGTCCTTCCTCTATCAACTTGTCCCAGGTGTTGTAGGGATTGATACTGTAGTCGTCTAGGAGATCTTTGAAGAGAGCTCGCGCGTCTTCCTCGGAGAAGTGCACGCCATCCGCTCCGTCTGGCCAATCGTCTGCGTTGCCGTCATCGTATTCGCCAGGGTCGAGGCCGTATGCCTCCCCCATGGCTTGCAATTGAAAGGCAATATCGGCTTCGCTGAATTCAACAGCCTCCTCCTCGCCCTCCTGTTCGGTTCTTTGGCGCTTTGGTCGATGCTCCCCATTGTCGCCCACATCATCCTCATCCTGCGCTTCGTCGTCTGTTACCTCGACCTCCTCGTATTCGGAGCTGTCGTTGTCTTCCGGCTCGTCCGTCGCAGCGGTGGGATTCGGGGCTCCTGGTCGATTGCTCGCTCCAGGCGCAGAAACCGGCCCTTCCTTCGGTTTGCCATCTGTTTCTGGCGCAGTCTTTGCGAGAATGCGCGCCTGGTCCAGCTCCAATATTCCAGGTTTCAGCTTCTCGGGAATGCGCCAGTAGCTGGTATTCTTATCGGGGTTGTAGGCGAAACGTCGGCCATACTTGGTCGTTACGAGAATCCACGGTTCGAAACCTGGTATCGCAGCTTTAGTGCGCGGTCTGTCGTTGGGTTGTGGCCGTGAACGCGAGTCGCCGCCGCCCCGTCCACCTCGGGCAAATCCCCCTCCACGGTTGTGATGGCCAGAGACTGGGCCCTGCGCCGCATTCAGTTGCGCGAGGTAGGCATTGGCAACATTGGGATCCGAAAGGTTTGGTATCGCCTGGTGCTGATGGTAGGGACTAGGACCGAGGGGATGCGCGGGTGGCGCTGGTGACACAGGTGCGCTTGGCCTCGTGTATGTCGACTGCTTCGTTTCGGTATTGTAGTAGTACTTGTGTCCAGTGGGTGCTGTGTGCTCTGTCCAGCCGGGGAGAAGTGGTGGTGGGTTCGCGACATTGGGAGAAGGTTGGTACGTAGACTGCAACATCGCGAAATCAACGGTCGACGCTGAAGAAAAGTAGAACAGCGAATGTGCCTGATCAATGAAGAAGCCATGATGATGCAAAATCGGGTGGATCAGGTAGATGGCGGCGAAACATCGGTAGTCTGATAAGATAAGAGCTGCTGCTCAGCTCAGAAGCTCTGTTGCTTAACGCCCTGATCGTCTCGAGCATTTGGCACCAAAAAACCACTGACCTGCATGAGATGTGGCCCGTGCCCATGGCGCTTTACCTAATTCAATAGGCGTTTTTCGCCAAATAAACGGTAGGTCCAGGTGCTGCATACTAGATGTACCACGCTAGCAGCCCCCCTGTTTCATTTAGACCTTCCCTAAATAGGAAGGGATTCTCAACTTCGTGCCAATTGCTCAGAGCACCCTTGTGGTGCCAAAAAGATGCCACACTCCTGGCCCTCTATAAGCAATCTCAGGGGAATAACTTTAACCCGGCCGTCCAAAATCGAAAACAGAACAAGGGTAGAAGAGGTACCTCCAAAATAGTACGCCAGTGCCGTTTTCAAGAAGTCACTCGATGCCAAATACATCTAACGCCAAATGCTCGAGACGATCAGGGCCTAAGCGTCCGTGGCCAACGAGGTGCATGTTGGTGTCACGGGGCCATCACGAGACGACATTCCACGACGACTGTGCGAACGCACCATCTGCAAGGCCGTCCCATATCAATTATCACCAAGGAAACTCCGGCGACTGCCTGGCGGAACTCTGCGTCTGCACTTCCATCCCTGGAGGTAGCCGTGAGTTCGGCCTGAAAACATGCCACCGAACTGGGGTAATAGTGAAGGGAGTGCGCGCGGAGGCGTTGTGCCTGCCCTGAGTCGATTTTGGAGGGTATGGGGGCTCATCATCGCCATTCTCTGCCGTAGACTGACACCACCATTTCCAGAGATCCCATGCGCCAGATTATCTAGGCTTTTTCATTCTTTTTGCAGCATGGATGGCGGTCAGTAAACAAGATGCGAGGTTCCGAACCTCCAAACCAGCTAACACTCTTTGTCAAGATCATAGCTTTCGTTGAACCGTTCCACCGCATGTTCTTCGTCAATGATTTACACATCATGTTCCCGCATGCCGAGGTTGAGAGAGTTAGCGTCCGTAAGTTGAATACCTACCTGCTCCTGGTCCTGGCAAGACGTTCAGCTCATTGTACAATGAAGAGTGGAACTTCATCTATGCACTCTTCATTCCCCTTGGCGTCCTCATCGCATGGAACTTCGTCACCCGTGCATCCGTCCACAAGCATGAGGTGACCTACCTCTGCTTTGGTATTGCGCTCGTCATGACTTCCTTCATCACCGACGTCGTCAAGAACGCAGTGGGCCGCCCACGTCCCGATCTCGTTGCGCGATGCAAGCCTGAGCCTGGCACACCGGCCGATGTCCTTGTCTCCATCAGTGTCTGTACGGAGACCGCCCACCACCTCTTGCATGATGGATGGCGATCCTTCCCGTCCGGACATTCTTCCTTCTCATTCGCAGGTCTCGGCTTCCTGAGTTTGTTCTTTGCAGGCCAGCTTCACGTCTTCCGTCACGAGTCTGGCGGACGGGACCTCAGCCGCGCCCTGGTCTGCTTAGTACCGCTCCTTGGCGCTGCGCTCATCGCCATCAGCAGGTGTGAGGATTACCGGCATGATGTTTACGATGTAGGAGTTGGGTCCATCCTGGGTTATACTGTGGCGTACTGGAGCTATCGTCGCCATTGGCCAAAGTTGACAGCCAGGGACTGTCATGAGCCACATCCGTACCCTGGGACGGAGTCGAAGGCTGGGTGGTCGCGCGTACGGGACGAGGAGGACAGTGCGGGTCAACGACCAGATGTAGGCTTTGAGATGGCCTATCTAGGCTCCCCACTTGAAGAGACAAGACGCTGATCACTGGCTAGGCTTCGGGGTAAATATAGCGATTTGTCCAAGAATCTCGGTGTTCCGGCGCTGTTTGACGTTGCGGCATTGGGAAAATGGGCTTTAAGGTTGCTTGATCGTAGGCACACACGCGACTCCATACGGGCATCATTTGTATAGTATTGGTGGTACACTTCGTCCTGGGAGCGTCATATAAGCCCGTCCCCGTTCGGATCATGCTTTCATAGCCTCTATCGCTTCTTCATTTGTCCTCCGCGCTCTCGTCCTTCGCCAGGTCATGCTCCTTCAGAAGCTGCTTGATCTCCTCGGCACTCCAGAGACGGTGGTAGATCTTTCCGTCGCTCGTCTGACCAACCGTGGCAAACTCGACTACAACGACTCAGGTGTCAGTCACAGGAAAAGAATGAGCAGTGAGAGCAGACTGGGACAACATACGTTTCTCGGCGCTCAGCTTGGTAGAATCCATGGTCTTGCTAAGAACCTTGACGGCCAGGCCACACGCATCCGTGAGCTTACAATCCTCCTTGTAGTCTTGCTTCAGCAAGCTCTCAGCACTCGCACGGTTGGCACCAACAGCGGTCGCCTTCCATCCGCCGTAGTTGCCTGAAGGGTTGCTCTGGTACAGCTGGAACTGTCGCTTGGGATCCCAGCCGGCGTAGATGAAGGAGACGCCGAACGGTCGGAGACCACCATGTTGTGTGTAGCCTTGCTTAAGATCGCACAGCCTTCGGACGAGCTGTTCACACGGGATATCTTCGTTGTATGTGAGGAGGTAGCGTTGGGCAGCCTGGCGTGCGTAGTTGATCAGGATATTGGCGTCAGCCGTCATGCCTGCCACGGCGCAGATCATGTTGCTGTGGGAATGATTGCTCAGCCAGGTGCTGCTCCAGTTCTCATCAATGATACATACTCGTTCACCGTGTACAGCTTCTCAGCCGACGTGTCTTGCTCCAGCAGCTTCGACGTCACCTTTCGCTCGGCAGCAAGGACAATACCATCTTGTGCAAGGATGCCGATCGCAGTTCCGGCGTGAGAGATGGCCTCCAGAGCGTACTCGACTTGGTACAGACGGCCTTCAGGCGAGAAGATGGTCGTCTACATGACCGACATTGTCAGTGTTCGTTCGCAACGATGGAGGCTATGACCTGGGAAGGGGGTCCTGGCTTACCCGGGAATCGTAACGTCTAGACATGTCGTCGCGTGTAAGGCTGGACAAATGAGAGAAGAAGTGTTGGTCGAGTCGGAACTGAATAAGGGCCTTCGGCGGAACTGCTGCGTCGATGGGTGGGAAGGACTGTTCGTTGCGATGAGGCGGGACTTTGACGTTTATGGTGGGAAGGCTGTATGTAGCTTGAAGCTCCAGGCAATCGATGCACGCGTTAGCTGACCCTTGCCGGTGAGGTGGGTATGTGCTTGAGGTGCAGGTACGACGGTTGGCAGATCTGGGACTTTTGACACTGGTATTACCAAGCATAAAAACAGGTCTTTGGTCCTGAGGAAAAGTACAGGTACTTCAGAGTGGGCCTGGGCTGCGAGGTGGACATGGCCGTAGGCCGAAGCTCACCGTGACTCCAAGTGATACACGTGACCAAAATGCATACCAGCCTTACGTAACCCCTCTCTTGTATTGTGAAGTAGGAAGCTTCCCACCACCCATCTAGACCTCTTACCCTTCCTACGCGCGCGACAAGGCTTCTCTGTTTTCCTTCTTCGGTGACGAGCTCTCCGAGAAAGGTCCCATAGTGTATCACCCAGCCGTGAAAACTTTGGATTGCGTTCAATCGCGTAATTGCACCTCCCGCGAAGCTGAGCGGTCCTCGCGTTCGCGACAAAGGCCCGCGCGACGCAATCACGCGCGAGCTCCAGCACCCCCGTCGCAAACCACGTTCGGTCTGTCCAGACCGGCTTCGAAGCCCACAACCCTCGCCAGGGAGGCCTTCGGCTACTGAGCTCTTGAGAGGGACGCATATAGTTCCACGTCCGCGACATGTCCGGTAAGCGTTGGCGCACAGCTCTCCAATCTGCCCCGCGATCGCATTACGCGCCGAAGGGCGTCGCAGAACGGCATGACTGACTTGAAGGCGCAGAATCCGAACCGCGGCGCTCTGTACGCGCTACGAAGGGACAGCATACGAAAGCTTTCGATGACCAGCCTCTCGAAGCTCCGAAGAAGCGAGGCAGAAAGAAGAAGCAGCAACAGGAACTAGAGCCCGAGGAGGAAATAATACGTTGTGTTTGCGGCGCCACCGACCAAGATGACGACGAGGATGACCAAGTCTGGGTCGCATGCGACACTTGTGGCGCCTGGCAGCACAATGTATGCATGGGTATGCCCGACGACAATCTCCCCGAGCACTACTACTGCGAGCAATGCCGCCCTCAACTGGAGTACCACAAGGAGCTACTTTCTGGCATAGCCGAAGGTAGGAAACCCTGGGAAGAGCGCCAAAAGGCGTACAGGGACAGAAAATCAGCCGAGGCTGCTGAGAAGAAGAAGAAGCCCGGAAAGAAGAAGGGGGTCCGAGGATCCAAGCGCGTCAGCGATTCCAAGGAGGATCTTTCGCAGGCCGCGAGCTCCCAGGCTGGAGATTCACCTGCGCCGGAGGCTGCTCCGAAACCCAAGGGCAAAAAGGAGGGTTCGAAACCTGGTCCAGCAAAGCGCAAGGCTGACGAGAGCGACAAGGATGTCAAGGTCAGTTCTCGCGAAGAGCCGTCTAATGGGAACGACCAGAACTAACACATATGTCAACAGACACCCGCACCCAAGGTGCGGAAAGTTTCCGAGACGGAGCCGAAGCGAGTCGAATATGTTGCGCCTGCTGACCTTCCCGCGAAGATGGCAGACGTAGCTGACACGAACCACCGGTCTGTGGCGCAAGCCCTTCAAAAGGCTGTGGCCATTGGCCTCGGAACGGCTTTGAAGAACAAGCTCATTACGGTGCCAAAGGACACCACACCTGCTGCATTGTCCGAGCTGTGGGCGATCCAGATTGAGCGAGCTGTTCGTGACAGTCACCCTGACGCTAGTCAGTACTCAAACAGGTGCAGGACTTTGGTCTCAAACCTGAAAGCGAATCCAGAGCTCAGCATGGGACTGCTTCATAGCACACTGTCCCCCCCAATGTTGGCTGTCATGACTTCTGATCAGCTGGCGACGAAGGAACAGCAACGTCTGAACGCGGAGTTGAGGGCCAAGTCTGAAAAGCAGTCGATTCTGGTCACGGATGACGGTCCTCGCATGCGACGCACACACAAAGGGGACGAAATGGTAGAGAACGATGCCGAATCTCAGATGGAGGAGGCTCGCCCAGCGTTCCGCCGCCCTAGCGCTCGCGACCACCAGGCCGAGGCGACAGAAAACGAGCCCCCGCGCCCAGAAAACTCGGTTGAGTTACCCGCACACGCAGCTTTGCATGTTGTTACACAAGGCCCTCAACAATCGCCGCGACAGGCAGACTTTGATATCAACAAGGTCTTCTCCAGCGTCAAATCGCCCACGGGACAAGAACGACGCCCATCGGGCCAGGTGTACCACGGCAATGGGCCCGGTGTCGATGCTGATGTCGATCGGCTGCTGCAGGACGAGACAGACTCTCCGCCATACTCCCCTACTGACGAGTCTGAACCCGACGTTGTATGGCGTGGCAGCCTCGCTATGAACACGATTGCGGACTTTCCGGCCACAGCCAAGTTTGTAGCAGGGGCTAACCTAGCCGCGAGCATTGGGTTGCCATGGTCGACGCTGATTCCAAAGAGAATGGCCGTGGCCGGTCGTATCGACGAACAGAAGGCCATTGAATACCTCTGTGGCCTACGGTACTCGGACAAGACTGATGTCGTCGTTGTCTCGCTGTCGCCCTCGTCCGAATCCTCACGACCCGAATTTCGGAAGCTCTTTGATTACTTCAGTTCCAAGAAGAGGTATGCAGTCATCGGTCAAAAGGCGGTGGGCAATGTGCGCGATACCTATCTCGTACCTGTCCCTGCAGGAGACAGCGGTTTGCCGGAGTTCCTGCTCAACTTTTCCGACAACCTGATCCCACAACGTCGCGGTGAACCGATTCTGTTGGCAGTTTTCGTCTATAGAAATCTGGACCAGCACCGGGCGCAGTCTCCACAGACGAATACGACGACCCCCACCCCAGCTGGCCAAGGCAATCGTCAGCCGTCAGTGTCGGGCCCTGCTTTCTCTCCAGCCGTGGGCCAGAGTCCCTTTGCGCACGCCTCGCCATCCCCGGTCACTAGCAACGGGCATCCAACACAAGGCGCCCATCAGGTGGTGCCGCCGAATCAGGCACCACACGGCTATGCACAGCGTGAGCCCTCGGAAGATGACATGAACAGGCTTCGACAGCAGGGCGAGGCTATAGCGCGAGAAGTACTGGGGCCGTTCATCGATTGTGCCACTGTTCAGTTTCTCCTGCCTCAGGCGATTCGCATGACGCGCCGGGAATGGCAGGTTTGTCGTGGTATATTCGAACGAGACGAGAGAGCCCGTGTAGATCTCAAGTATCTTAGCCAGCTTCTCCAGATCGAAAGCGAGGCAATGGCATCGGCGTCGGGCGGCGGCGCACGAACGGCGAATACGCAGCCAGCAGCGACGCCATCCACTTGAGTGGCAGTACCGCTGTAGGGAACAGCAGAGTGGGACGGCGTTGGTTTCCTTACACAAATTACGATATGAGCGTTGCGTTCAACAAAGGGTTCGGACAACATGAATTTGTAGGGTACTCGGTTGGCGATCCCCGCATGGCTCGCAGGGACGGGAGTCACACTATCTGGGAATCATATTTGCGCGAAAGGTTGGCCTGATCTGGTGTAACCCGCTCTTGTCCTTTTCGGGACGTCTCGCCTGGGGATAGTAGTAGCTTTTCGCGTGTAGTTGACGATGAATACTATTGCTTGCACATGACGCGCCTGAGGCGGCCCAAGTCTGGGCACTGCAGGGAACATGGCATGAACCAACAAATGCGACACGACGACTTCGTGGCTGGTGGGATCGACGTTGGCACAGACGGCTAAAATGCGTCACATCCATTGGATACGACCTGGGGAGGCCTCGACACAGCTGTCGAAGGGCATTGACTCGCCGTGCCTTAAATAAGACGCTGCCCGTCCTGTTACATCTTATTTGCAGTGCGTATCCTAAAGTCATAACTGCAGATCCGACCGTACACATCGCTGAAGCAACACCTGTTGGCGCCGATTCCCTATTACTATCTGTACGTGCCGCGTTGTCAAGGCCACATGAGGAATTGACGTCACTGGTCCTTGTCGCTAACATCCTGCTAAGAACCCAGCCAAATTGCTTCTCTAGCCTTCAGGTCTTCGACATTTATGCGCCTCGGGCCTTGTTTTTGGATCAGCTGAAATCGAAACCATGGCTTGCAGCTCCCGGTTTACGCCCGTCGACCGCAACGGCCCTGGCAGTGCAGCAACATCTATCGCGGAAAGTGTTCTTAAGCCTGCCGAGGCGACTGGCGGCAAAACCAAGTGCTTGGAGTGTGACGGCTACTCATGCTGCTGTATCCCTATCCCGTGTACAGTCATGTAGACGTCGGATTCCAATCGGAACAGGCGGCGCATCATGCCGGCTAGGATGTGGTAGAGATAGCGTCTCCTGCACGAGAACAACGGTGAAGTGGCAAGATGTGGAGCAAACTCGTTAAGACGCAGCGGTCCGAAATGGGTATCAATGTATTTTCTGCGTACAGAATCATGTCGTTATGTATTTAGGCGTGGTACTCGGAACTCCTTCAAGTGCAGCCCCTTTCGGCTACTGATCAGCTCAGATGAATAGCTCGTCAGCCGCTTCCCATACCTCCCTCTCCCGTCGGTCCGAGATGTCGTTGCTCGCGGGTTGTTCATTGCCTGTTGGTGTAGGTTCCGACGTCGGACCGGCCTGAAGGATATCGATGCTGCCGAGGCCCTCCAGTACTCGCTTTGCGCTGTCGACCTGGGCCCTGATGGCTGCAGTTTCGGCTCGGGTTCGGTCGAGATGTGATTGCATTAATGCGATGCCCGATTCGCGCGCCTGGTGGGGGCGATACTCGTTAAGAACATGATGGAAGTTCATGAGAAGCGTTCGTAAATCGTCAACTTTGGCGGTGGACTAGCAGGGCGGTAAGAGTCAGCCTGGTACGCAGAATGAAGACAACGAGCGAGGGAGAGTACATCTTCTGGGGTGATGCTCATGACTCCGACAAGCTCGAGAAAATTGAGCAGGAGCGATTTGGCCATTCGTTTCAGCTCGAATGCACGATCGAGGTGTTTGCCATCCCTTTCGTCGTTGTGTGCTGAAGCCAGGCGCTTGATGTTGACTTCCTCCAGGGAGGGCAGCTTGTCGTCCAACTGTGCACAATGTCAGACTCGTTGCCATTGCGATTCTCAAAAAAATCGCCGGCCTCACGTACGCTGTACTGTCCTCCCAGAACGCGCCAGGTCCCTGTTGACGGTTCTGCTGGCGGCTGTAGGTTGACCAGTTCGTCGGGGATTCCCGACGTTCGGATCGGCAAGTCCTTCAGGTCAGTGCTGGTCTCCTCAGCCCGCGTAGCTCGCAGTTCTGCGATCCGAGTAATGTTCTCGGGCGTAAAATCCTTCCAAAACAATGGGGGATTCGGGAAGGCGGAGGAATGGGCCTTCTGGCCTTGCTGGTCGGTGTTGTCACCCATGTTGCTGGAGCTGGTCGTCGGTGGATAGAGAAGGGAAGTCGGCTATCCCATGCAGTGACATGTCACTGCATCTCCGAAACTCTTGATCCGATACCGTCGTGTGGATATGATGCGTCGCGTGCAAGTGACGTGGGATTTCTCATCTGGAATGCAGGCGTTTTTTGCAACTGAGCTTGATCCAACTGCCTACCGCGAAGTGGTGCCTTCCACCTGGCTGCGAGAGGTGCTCCAAGGGTGGAGGGGTCAGTGGGTATTGCTCCACCTTGATGGCTCGTTTTGGTTTAGCGCGGAGAAAGCTACCTGTCTGTACCTGCTTGACCTGTACCCCAAGTGCCCAGGTGATGCTCCTCTGGCAGCTTTTGTTATGTTCCCCTCCTCAGCAACAGCATCGTGGTGGTGACGACAGAGAGCGTGCACACTGCCGAGTTTCCAGACAAGACTCGCCCCGGAATCATAGCGAGGCGTCGCAGAGTCCTATCGCCCAAGCCGAACCTGCCCAAGTTAGGACATAGTTGCAGGAAGGCGGTTCTTTTGGATTCAGCCACAACCGAACCCCGAGACCGACGCACGTCGACTCTTTCGCCAATCCATTGACCGCCATTCCCCGTTTATGCAGCAAATCGCCATGTCAGACGTCCGGGCCCTCTTGCGGCAGCAACGCGCTGCCCGTCGAATTGATCATCCATTTGCTGCCTACTCTGATGCTGGCAAGCTTCTCTGCACCCTTTGTCACGAAGCCGTCAAGGCCGAGTCGCTATGGGATGCCCATTTACGTAGTAGCGGACACACAGACAAGTCCCAGAAGCAGCAAGCCTCGCAAAAGACAAGACCGACAACGATTGAAGAGCAGACGAATGGCACGCACAAGCGAAAACACGATTCAGACTCGGACGCCGAGGATGCTACGATGGTCGATGCGACAGCACGCAAGAAGCGCAGCAGGAACGACATGAACACACCCGCTCGTTCGGGTTCGGAAAGCAGCAGCGACAGCGCTGGCGGGACGTCGCGCGACCGAGAGACGCAGGCGACAAAGGACCAGACGTTGACGCCCCCAACACTGAACAGGAGGACCTCCACGACGCCCGTCCAAGGCGGCGAGATGCTGATCCCATCACGACCCGCGACGCCTCACCATCGCGACGGCACCTCCTCTACCGCGACACCCCTTGGTCCGTCGCCGCTCATTCCTCAAGACCCCATCGCGCCCTCCGCACAGCCCGACGACGCCGTGTCAACAGTGACCGCACAGCAAAAGGTGGACGAGGACGAGTGGGCCGCATTCGAGGCCGACATTGCAGCCGAGAGCGTACCCTATGCTGACGACGCCGTCATCTCCGCGCCCGCCATGACGGCAGAGGAGCATGCCGCCAATGCGAGAACCGAGGAAGAAGAGCGCGAAAAGAGGCGCCTGGCGGCTGAGAAGGATGTGGCTGATGAGAAGGAAGAAGCGACGCGCGCGCTAGAGACTGAGTTTGAAGAGATGGAAGAACTCGAGGCGAGGGTCCGGAAGCTGAAGGAACGGCGCGAGGCACTGAGAAGTCATGCTGATGTGACAGACGCAGAAAAGGTGGGGCCACCGGTGCACGAGGCGGCAGTCACCAGTCCAACCGAACGCAAAGGCGATGATGAAGAAGATGGTGAAGAGGAGGAGGAGGACGACGACGATGAAGACGATTTTATGGGGTTTCGATTTGGAGGCTGATATACGAACCCCACTTGATGACATGTGTAAACAAAATTGTATAACAAGCATCTTGATTTGAAGACAGTCCAGGCAAGGCCCTTTGGATGGCATGGAGCGAAGTTTGATCTGGCTTGCAGAGGTCACCACGGGCGACGAGGTTGACAGATACGATGCGTGTACGATTAAGTGACTAGTGACTATTATAGGATGGCGATGGCCATTGTTATGGCAATAGCCATTACATGTGCGGAAATTCAAAAAGATTACAACCCTGGACCCAAAAAGTGACATAGAAAAGAAGAAGGAGAAAGCATCGGTGCTCGGTCTCGCTGCCTGTCGCCTATCACCACAGGTTCATGAGCTTAGCGAAGGCCGCGCGAGGAGCCTTCGGCGTGCGCTTGGACTTGTAGGTCTGGTCGGAAGTGTACGCGGGCCCAGGGGCAACGCTTGTAGCAGTGCCGTTCACGGGGTTGACAGTCGCGCTCTGTGTGGCATTGGCGGAGGACCAGGCACCGCCGGTGGGGCGGAGAGTGGCGATGACAGTGTTGTACTTGGTCACGATCTTGGATGAGATGGAGCAGTCGGGCGTTTCCTCAGCAGTGCCCGTAGGGTAAACAGTGATGTGCTCGGTGGCGGTGCCATAGACGGACGTGATGATGCAGGGCTTTCCGGGGTCATGGTGCCCGCAGGGAGGGACTTGTCCCGTACTGTTCGTCGGCACGGCATAATGGGCCGAGCTGGTACTGTTCGACGGCACAGGATAAGGGGCAGTAGTATGGTAGCTGCCATGGCCGTAGATGGCGTCGGCACTCTGATGGACGCCAGTGTACTTGTCCCCGTCATCGTGACCAGAGCCCTGCTCGTGCTTGTGGTCGTTGCCGTATGCCTGGCCGTCCTTGCCTGTCTCGACACCGTGATGAGTCTCTTGTCCGTAGGATGTTTCGTCGCTGTGTTGGTAGGACTCGCTGTGTTCGTGGGACTCATTGTGTTCGTAGGACTCGGTGTGGGACTCGGTGTGGTACTCGTTGGACCCATACCCTTGCTTCCCGCTGCTGCTGTAGTGACCACCGCCGTTGCTGCTGTTGTTGTCGTTGCCACCGCCATTTTGGCTGCCATCGTCGTGCTTGTTGCCGTTGTCCTTGCCACCATCATGGTTTCCGGGATCGTACTTGTTGCCGTTTTCCTTGCTGCCAGTACCATTGCTGCCGTCGTGGTTCCCGTTGCCTTGCTGGTATCCATCGTTGTAGTTGTTCCCGCTGTGGTTGTTATCGCTTCCGTGGTCCCCGTTCTCGTTTGAGCCGCCCGAGCCGGACGTCTGGGTATGGTACTCCTGACCCTGGCCATCCTTTCCGCCGTCCTGGTTGCCACCGCCGGATCCGTGGCCAGATGCGTGATCTTTGCCGGATTCTCCCTTTCCCTTGTAACTGACCTTGCTGACAGAATAGTCGTTGGTTCCGTACTCATGCTTTCCGTTGCTTTCGTACTTGGACTCGCTCTCATGGCCGGCGTACTGGTCCTTGCTGTAGAACGAGGAGGCCTGGGCTTCGTAGCCATTGTGAGTCACCGTCACTGGGTCGTAGGCAGCCCGGGAAGGGTCGCCGCCATCGTGGTACACGTTGGTAGTGGAAGCGGGGATTTCGTAGGTAACCGTCACCGTCTTCCTGTCATCGTACTCGGCGTGTGTGTTGTACAGCTGGCCATCGCCTTGACGGATAGTGTGGATGATGGTTTCCGTCTTGGCCGGCTCGGTGACGGTGATGCACTCGGTCACAGTCTCCCTGAGGGTGCTGGCGGTACAGTGGAGCGTCTCAGTCACAGTCGTGGGGTAGGCTTGGACCGAGGGGCAAGGGCAGGTGTTTGGGTTTGTGTTGGAGCGAGGTCTCATGCGTTCCGGCCTAGCGCTCGATAGCGAGGCAAATGGCAAGAGCAGGAGAGGAATGCGGTACATGGTGGGCGGAGTTACCGTTGAGGTCGGCGTACGATGGTGCGGGATCCTCCTCTGCAGTTTCAGGTGTGGAGATGCAGCGTATGAGATGGAGACTCGAGATGAAAGGTTGTGAAAATGGTTATATGACTTGATGAAGAGGCTGTTGTGTGATGAGACGATTCGAAAAAGTCAGAATGCGGCAGCACGACTCTCTCACTTATACCACGATTCTCCTTACCCTCCAAGCAGGGAGTTTGAAGGAACTGATCGAAGGAGTCTGATCAAGGACCGTGATGGGCCCAGGCGCAGCTCACCCTTCCTTCCGCTGGCATCAAGGGGGGATGTATTGGGGCAATACATTGTGGATGGAAATCAGGGCTGCAGGTTGTGTTCGTCGCAGGGGATTTGACGTTGGCACGCGAAATCCGCTACCTGTCAAGGAAGGCAGTGAAGGGAAAAGAGGGAGGTCGCTGCTCCCCTCCACCAACCAACTTTTCAACGGCATAAATGGATATCTTGAGACAAGACCATTGAGACCAATGGCATCCGTTGCGAATCTATGCGCGACCATGTGGAGTAGTGCAGTCCCTGGCGAGGGAGAGCGCGAAGCGCAGGGAGCCCACCAAAAGGGCCATCTTGCAGCTGGAGATGAGAAAGACGTGACTCTGGGCCACGGCGAGCACAGCACACTGGTATGGCGCATGGCCGTCTGCAATCATGGGCAGCCATGGAGTTCGTTCAATCGCCCGGTTGCGTTTCTTTTGATGGGCAATGCTGGACCCAAACTCTCGACATGAGGAAGTGAGGTCAAAAGAGATAAGATCAGGGACAGGGTCACCCTGGCCGTAAGACTAGGTCGGTGTGTGCCTGAACCGCCTCCCTGGGAGCAGCTCTGTGCTGGGCATTCGGGCGTGTGCGGCCCGCCCGGTGTGTCAGCCAGCGGGCCGCCATGCCCCCGCGTCAAGTCGAGCCAGGGCGGCGAAGTGGGGGAGGGTCTTCACGGGCCGACTTGCTTCCGACGATGCTCGATGGTCCGACCTCTGACCGCCTGCTCGATATGGACTTTCGAGGTGTCACAATCTCGGACCTTGTCATCTGCTGCCTCTGCGATCCCAACAGCAACCAGCAAAACACACGGGCTTGCGCTGCCCCGAGATCGAACTGGCAGCCACCGCAGGCTGTTTGGCAGCCACTGCGCACCGTTAGCAG